GATTTTTAAGGATGCAGCCATATGGGTGTTTCCGGAGATTAGGCAACCAAAAATCATTGGTTTCCCCATTAGAAATAACCACGATCTTGGATGAAGTTGGGATCCCACTGAAGATTTCCGGAGGATGTTCTCAGATACGAATTTGTTGCAATCCCTTTCTGGGGGAATCCTTTTTGGGGTCAGAGAATGGCAGGATTTGGGGTATACCACTACCATCCACTACCACATCTCAACAACGGCGGACTGCAGTAACTGAAGTCCGCAGTGTTTGTTGTGCCCTTTGTCCTACATTATTGTTTTATATTTTTTTCTGGGTGATGAAGAAACCACTCCTACATTTTCATATTTGAGATGACTTTAGTAATAAACCGAGTTAGGCACCTTGCCAGCAGTTGCTGTTGGAATTGTGGGGTGTGTGACCTTCCAACTTCGTTCGATTCCCGAGGTTTAAGGAGGGCCACAAAGAATCCATCCAGGTTGGATAGTGAAATGGCGGGGGGTAGCTGTTCAAAACAGGGGGATAGTTTGAGTTGTTCAACATGGTGAATTTACACGGGTCAAAAAGAATGGTTTACCGTCGCATCTTCTAGGGCACTGCTGTGTGCGGAAAGATGTCCCACGGGGACCAGCTGCCCATCATCTGCCAGAATCAATACCAAAAATGAAGGTTGAACTTGCCAAAACAGCAGCGGAGAAGGAACTGATGGGCTTATTTTTTTTGCATTTCTTTCCTCCCCGATTGGCTTCTGGTTTTAAACTCATGGGGACATGGATGATATTATATATATATTATTATACATCATATTATATAAATTAAAATAAAATATAATATAATATAATATACGATAATATATTATAAAAAATATAATATAATATATTATAATATAATATAATACAATATAATATATTATAATATAATATAATATAGTATAGTATAATATAATATAATACAATACAATATAATATATTATAATACAATACAATATAATATATTATAATATAGTATAATATAATATAAAATAAAATACTATAATATGCTATAATATAGTGTAGTATGATGTAAAATGATTTAATATAATATAATATAATTTAGTATAATATAGTATATAATACAATATAATATAATTTAATATAGTATATAATATAATATAATATAATATAATTTAATATAATATAGTATATAATATAATATAGTGTAATATAATATATACTATAATATAATATAATATAATATAATATAATATAATATAATATAATAATAATATAATAATAATATATAATTTGATTTATAATATAACGTAATGTAATGTAATGTAATGTGATGTGATGTGATGTAATGTAATGTAATGTAAATATATATATATATATACATACATAATATTATATGATATGAAATATTAGACTCTATATTTAATATACCTATATCAATACATTGCTGTTTGGTATTTTGAATTTGCGGGATGAGTTGGGAAAATGATCAGTCCAGCTGGCAAGGCATGTTCGGAATGTGTTGACAGTACCAGCTCCCCTATCCAGGAAACCAGGATGTGACAAACCTGTGGGTCAATTCATTGAATGTATTGGACACATGCCAATATTGTCAAACATAGCTTTACCGCAGTCAACATATTCTGAAGGTTTGGTCATTTTATGATATGTATATTATATGGTTGTGAATAAAAGGATAGATTTGGAGAGAAAAGACAGGTCTGCCAAAAGTACATGTAGTTCTTATTCCCAGAATTTGTTTCCGGGAACATCGAAACGCGAAACCGCGTAATGAACGTTGAGTCAAACTTAGTAGTTTTCTGTAGATGTTCCTTTAAACCAATCCATGAACTAGCCAACTATCACCATTTTTGCTGGGTTTTCACCAACATTTTTCAACCGGAATCTCTACGAACAAATCCCCATCTCCTTGAACGAGAAAAACGGCGCAGGTCATGAAGTGGCTCAAGCCCCTGCAGCCGCTCGCATCAACCATATAGTGTTGCCACTCGTATTAGTATGTGTTGATAAATTAGTAAGTAGATCTAGTGATATCTAGTCATAGTAATAGGATAGGTTTTTCAATGGCTTGGTTTTAAGGGAACATTTACAGAAAACCCATGGGTGTTTTCATGTGTTTTCCATGGTTTTTCTCATGAAATGTGGATAAAGATGGGGCCTTCCTGCACATTTTCCCACTCATCCAATGAGTTAATGCCGTCACTGGAAGAATTGTTCGATTGCGGGAAATTATCCCGTGGACTGGGCCGACCTTGGCAGGTGAGTGACATGTGTGTTTAATTTTCCCAAAACCATATAGTCAATTGCCACTTTTATGGTATTACTACTGTATGTCTCAGTATTTATGTATGTCTTAGTAGATAGTAGATCTATATAATTTATAGTCATAGTAATGGTAAACTATCAACCGTCTACATAGTATATATGTGCAACTAATCAACTATATTTAGTATCATAACATATGATCAATCATCCCCAAAAGGAATCGACACGAGATCGTGATAATTGACGTGTCTATCTGTTGGGGATAATATATAATTCCTTTTTAAAATGTAGCTCTTGTGGCGGGGCCATATTAATATATGGATGGTTACTGGCAAACAACTGGCTGATATGGGGATTTAGGCTCTGACTAATTAAAAGGCCATTGGATGTTATTTTTTGGTGAGCAAAAAACATGCGCCACGATCAATCATTTCAACAGTTGCTTAATTATCAGGATCAACCACCAAAAAAAGTCAACGAAAGGCGCATTGGAAACCACCCCCCCGCCCACCAGTCACTCGATCTGGGCGGGAGGCTCAACCATTTGGGTTTGTTTGAGAATGGGGTACCCAAACTCTCAATTGTTCATCCTCATTTTTCGCCAGTGAACGAGCCATTTTGGGGTATCCACAATTCTTGGACAAACCCAACTATATCATATTGTATGGGTCAAAACCTGGTACCCCTGTAGTTCATATCCAGATAGCTAGTATAGCTGGAGGTTCATCCCCAAAGAGTATGGTACAATATGGTATTTCATAGGTATTGATCATATTGATCCCTATCCATCAAATCCCCTTTACAGCCCCTTACATCCACTTAAACCTCCAGAATTTGATGGTCAAATCATTAAGTTGAATCCAGGTTTAATCCTTTAGAAGTTTCGCAGTTTCTACTGAGGTGTTTGGCCACAGCCTCACTAGATACCACGGTGCAAATCTTCGACACAGTGCTGCAAGCGCGAAGCCATACCCTGTCGGGTCACACGAAGGGTCTGGCACTCAGGGGACGCTGCTGTTTGGGTGTGAAAATGATGGGAAAATCATTGGGAAACTGTTTTTTTTTTCGGATTAAACCATGATTTAATGGGGATCTACGGGGATATATGGATATGATATAACCAGCAACTGATATGATATTTGGGTTTCTCTGAAAATAGTGTATTCACCCCAGCAATTTGAAAGGAAACATCATGACAAACCAATAGGTCAATAGGTTTTGAGATACCACAATTTTAGACAAACTCATTTCAATGGGGATTCTTGAAATGCGGTACACAAATCGCCCAGAAAGCTGCCCTTCAAATAGGGAAAATGGTGATAGATGACTGGAAGTTAGGGGTATCCTATTTTCTGACAAACCCACATACTGGTACTTACTTATAGAATATTATAGACCTCCACATGCAAGGTGGAAATTATGAAAAAATCAAGTTATCCTGCATAATATACAAGCAGATATGTGTAAATTAAACTTAAACATTACCCTTCCGCAAGCAAACATGGCAATGGAAAATGCAACATTTAATGATATTCCCACAAAAACCCTCCGTTTAAAGGGGATGTCTCCTTGCCATGTTGGATATTGTTTGAGTACTGACGGGTAGCGAAAACATCTCTGGAATGTGGACACTAAAGCCATAGCTGGCCTTCTCTTGATGATATCTCCCAGTTGGTTGACCATACTTGGGTACCCCAAACTCAACCGCCACTAGCTGCTACCAAAAAAAGGTGGTTTAAATCATCTGGATATGTTTTAGGATCGAGGCTGACTCGATTTTTTTCCACATTGAAACCCCCAGAAATCATGACCCCTCTTTTTACAACGGACATCATTGAGTTGGGTGTTGTTTCATGTTGGTTCATGTTGTTTCATCTTGTTTCACTCTTAGTCTCTTAGTTCTGGGGAGCTCGGTCCTGAGCTGGTCAAAGACTTTAAACATGGGGTGGGGTTTGGTCACTGCATACTGCAGCGATTTGGCTCAACAAAGAAAGCGTGAAGAAATCAGGCGGAGCCTTGCTGGATCAGATTGGTTGATGAAAGATCAGCTCTTGAAGCAAGTTCTCGGCAGGATAGGATCCACCATGCTTGGCAGCTGTCTCCTGTCGTCCTGCAGGATTCCAGACATTTTCGACAGGAACACTGAGCCAAACACTGGATCTCACTGGTAGCCTCTGGTAAATTAACATAACTATGGACAGATCCACCATTTTTCATAGGTATTTCATGGTATTTCAACTAGACATGGCCATTTCCAATAGCTATTTTGACATAACCAGAGGGTAGTTTCTGAAACACTTTGCACGTCAGAAAACGTCAGAACATGTCAGAAAATGGTGAATCATCTGTTTTCATGGGTCATCGCTTCCACAGCAAGCTTCATGGTCGTCACCCCCCATTTAGTGTGATGACTTTCCCATGAAAACCTCCATGGCTAGTGAAGGGAATTCCCCAGCCAGCCATGTCTTTTGTGCACCAGAGGGTATCCCATCAACTATTCCCAAAACCAATCACATATTCCCATGAAATCCCCGAAAAAGTTCCATATAGAATCCCCAATTATACTTCCCTCATGCTCCATGTATAGAATATTATATAGAATATTTACCAACATTGACCAAAATGGCCCAGTCGTGTTGGTAAATCTTCAGCAAGGTGGGCCTGGCTTAATCCCCATCTACCAACATCTTGCGCATCCCCAGCTTCTCAAGCGCTTGCTGCGCAAAATGAAGCGCTTCATTGGTCACTTGGGGCAGCTCCAGTGGAGGTCCACAATGTGGAGGAGAAATCGCTTGCTGCGCGGCCAATTGAGTTCAGTTTTTTTTTTGCCGTTTGATAAGTAGACTCTTAGGGATATGGGTGTGTCCGAAAATAGTGTACCCCTAAACCCAATGGTTAATGATCATTATCCCTATTAAATGGCTATTATTGGGAATATACCCTATTTTCAGACAAACCCATATCACTGATACTCTATATTTCTAATGTCATAGTATAGAATAATCGTAATTAAACATACTTGTATGTTTGGTGCGCAGTCATATCCTTCCTCAAGTGAGCCAGAGGGGCCACAAAAACAACATCATTATATACCAACAAAAGAACCACACACCTAGTTGCCATATAATATATCACCATGATACATCCTGAAAAGAACACACATATATATATAATAATATATATATAATATATATATAATATATATAATATATATATAATATATATAATATATATATATAATATATATATAATATATATATATATATATAATATATATAATATATATATATATAATATATATAATATATATATTATATATATAATATATATATATAATATATATATATATAATATATATATATATATATTATAATATATATATATATAATATATATATATATAGTATGATCTGGGAATGGGTCAAAACCTATGAAAGTTATGAAATTACTTACTGGTGCTTAGTAGGGAATGAGGGAATGATCCATAATCACTAGTAATAGTCATCCCATTCCCCCATTCCCATCCATTCCCTACTAAGCACCAGTAAGATTACCATGTGAAATCATATGACCGGGGAAACATCCATAGATCACAGCTCTGACCTGCTGGGTAACCCAGGACCACGGCCTACTGGGCGATGCCGCGAAGCTTTCAAGCGTTGGGACTCTGCCCAAAAGTTCAGAACCTTGGGTGAGAGGCCCAGATATGGCTATTCTATACCCAAGCTATGGACATTTTTGGATGGGGATAATAAATATATATATATATATGTAATATGTAATAATATATATATATAATAAGCGTGTATATATATATATATATATATATTATTATATTATAGTGTAATTAATTATTCAATATGCACATGGATGTAACATGATATCAATGGATATTTTTCGCAGACAATATGATGTTCCGGGTTGGCAAGCGGCTTGTACCCGTCACTTGTGACGGCGTTCCAAGAATTCTCCCCAGAGTTGGGAGTACCATCTGGTTATGACTAACATAGCCATGGAAAATCCCAACCAGAAATGGAGGTTTCTAGCTGGGAAAATCATCTATTTCTATGGGCCATGGCTTCCACGGCTATGTTAGTCATAACCAGATGGTATGAATATGGAGTAAGCATACCTGACACGGTCTATTTGGAAGTAATATGATCTGAAACGGAGCTTTTGTGAAATAATGGCAGTTTTTTCTCCAATTTCTTGTAGCTAATCAGAGTTCAGATTCCTCACCCCTGGCATCAAGGAACAGCCTGTTGCTGGCAGAAGATCCCAAGCCCGTCAAGAATTCAACACAGGAGGACAGCATTCTCCATTCCACGATCTGTTCTTGGACCGGTAATGCTAATAAGTCTGGGGGTCCCTTGTTCTAACCCCTTCTGCATCAATCAATCGGAGATCTAGATAAACAGTTTTTATTTTCATTCCTGACCCTAGCCCAAATTTCTACAACCCAAGAAGGTGCATTGGGGATGAGTGGCTTCTAGCTGAACTTATATATACACAATCCGCAGAACAACTCTGCACTGGAACCTCTGGGGCTCCTCCTCGATGAACAGAATAGGTGGTACTTGGGACAAGGTCGTGCCCCATGAGTTGGTTCAGAACTATAATTACCCTCTGGTAATTTAACATAGCTATTGAAAATGGCCATTTATAGTTGATTTATCCATTAAACATGATGATTTTCCATAGCAAGATGTTAGTTCACCAGAGGGTATTGTATATTACTAGGGTTTATGGATGTTTATGGTGGAAATGTCTATAGGTGACCATAGGATACCCTGCTCCACCAGGACAAAGAGACCTCCGACACATCAGGTGAAGCGCCACAAAATGTGACTCAGACCGGGCGACAAGGTGGCTGCGTCAATGGGGCCCCCAACATGGAATATACATGGCATTTGGTGACCATATCGGACACTGATTTTACAAACTTTTCCAGTTTTTTTGTTGAACAAGAATCATATGACATCATATGACTGAACATTTTGGAGGTCAGAAAAGATGCAGAAAGATTCGTCATGATGCAGAAAAGTCAAATGAATCGTCCAATCATCCTCCAATCATAGGAAGGTGTCTTATTTCGATTCTGCTCCTTGAGGACAAACGAATCATTTTGTCCGACAAGGCAATCCTTCCGCGCAAACAAATAATCGTTTGAACGCTCATGCACATGCCCTCAAACTCACACTCCCAAAGGGGCATCGTTTGTTGCACTTTTGCATTTGAGTGCGAGTTGCACCAAGGACAAAGGAAAAAAGCCGGAGGAACCCGAGAAGCCAAAGCCAGACCATTACTCTGTATCTTGGTTCAATAGCCCGTTACAAGTTGGTTTACAAACCCCATAGATACAGTTATCAGTATCATGGACCATGCTTATGGGAGTTACAAACCAACTTCGCTATCGTCTATCGTTTGGGGGCCCCACTTTGTAGAGTTCATACGTCATGGGTTGACAACCAGCTCGGTGGTGGTGTGGTGGTGCCTCGATGCTTCAAGTAGCCATAAAGAGGGGTGAAAGTAAAGTCCCAAGTCCCAAAATTATTGGTGTATTACCTGATGTTTCTATATTTTTCAAGGTACTTGGAGGGTCTAAGTATATAGTTTTCTTCTTGCTTTTCTGGACAGCCAACAGGTTTACCCTTGAAAGCCTTAAGATGCGCGCAGGTGGTTGTAACTCCAGAGATTTTCTTGGACGTTTCCACGTTGCCGCTGCGGATGCTCGTACATCGCACGGCCATTTGGTTTGTGCCTCGGTTACAGCGGGACAGTGAGCACAGTGGGCCACCAAGCACCTCGGTCAATGACCATCTTATGTTGCAGCCTCAAGCTGACCCGGATGAAAGTCATGCGAAAAATTGGTGTGTCCAACTGTGCAACAATGTAACATGACATCGAAAAGCTTTAAGTTTTAGAACAAACTACATAATTATTGACCATTTGATTTGAACCATTAACATCCATTAACCACTATGAACTATGGCAAAAACAATTGAACTGCCTTTTTTTAATAGCAGGATCCTCCGCGTAGGCTACCTTTGCAGTCCACGTAGGCTTCATGACTCGACTTCGGCTCAATTGTTGCGTTCCTCCCAAACGAACCATCCATAAATACTCATAAATATTATCAGCATGTGGAGGGCTTGCCTTGGAACATCCAACTTCCTGCTATTCCCCTGAATGTTAGATCTGTTAGGTATCACATCGAGCTTTTATATGAATGTCATATGTCACGTAGCTCCTCAGGTTATCACAACCCCTATTTTTATCCGCCCTTTGAGCCCTTTGAGCCTCTGAGATGAATTTCATGTTTCCTTCTCTGGAGTTGAAGTGGAGCAACTTTTCGCTTGGAGCCGAACAGGCCGAGTGATGTGGGAAGAGCTATCAATACCTACATCCTAATACCAAATACCATCCAAAAGCATCATCCAATGGTGGGTATATATACTTCTCAACATTTCTCAACTATCGTTCAATTATGAATATATTATAATATATTATGAATTTATTATGAATTTATATCAATTTGATGGCAAAGAACTTTGACAATTGTAATGGGACGATCCAATTGTGGAACTGGTCGCCGAGGTATGGGGCCCCGGGGGCTCCGGGGGCCCCAGGGGCCCCGGGGGCCCCAGCTGGTGTTGAGGATGCGGCCCACTCACATAGCTATGGAAATGGCCCATGTATTGATGATTTATCATGATTTATCTATTAAAAATGGTGATTTCCATAGCTATGAATTTTAGTGTACTGGTGGTTGAGATGTTATTTTCGAGATCTCAGATGTTCATCGCTATTTTGTGAATAAGTCGAATGGATACATACACTTAAAACATGCATAGAAACAATATTGCATCTTCTTCCGAAAACATCTCCCTATGGTGATATTTCTGAAGCAATGGTAGAACGTACGTGGTCCACGGGTGGTTTGGACTCTGAGAAACTTCCAGTGGAATTATAAGTGGAATTCTCCCAGAAAGTATGGTAACCTGAACTACTACTTTGTTCGTTCTGTATCATTATATTATATCATATCAATTATATCCTCTTATCGCCCCCAGGTCTGCTGATTCTATTGATTCTATCCACATGTTTTTCTGAAACAATCCGCACTTTTGCTGGTTAAATGGTAACTGTTTGTTGGATAAAAACACATCGAACTGTTGTTGTTTGAACCCCCGTTTTTGATGGTTGACACCACCATTTGTTTGCCAACAAACAACAACAATATGTCTTTCATATACCCTCTGCTTATTCAACATAGCTATGGAGAGTCACTATTTTTGATAGGTAAATCATCAAAAAACATCTATAAATTGAATAAATGGGCCATCTATACCATGGCTATGTTAAATAACCAGAGGGTATTTGGTTTGTTGAATAGTTGAACTCCATCGAAATCGCCAAGTTTCCTGGTGAATTCCGACTTTCTACGGGTGAAACAAGCCACATTTTCCGGGCGTCCCAAGGGGGACCGGGGACCCCCCGTGTTGCGTCGTTCTGGTGCGAGGCGGTAAGGGCAGTCTACGGGCACCTGGCGTCCCAGGATTTGGAGCAGTTGCGAGGATTAGTGACCAACTCCTTGCTGCAGGCGCTGCAATGTGAATGGATTCTTCGTGGTAGCTTTAATGGTTAGCGAAACTGATATAATTATATAATGTTATATTATATATAATGAATAATGATAATGAATAATGATAATGATAATTGTTGATGATAATGATTAGTGGTAACTTTAGAAATTGGACTATGATGATTAACGGTTATTCGTGGTTATTAATGGTTATTAATTGTTAATTGTAACTTTAATGGTAGTCCCTTCAGCTTAATATTAATCACCCCCTAGAAACGATGATAAACAATGTTTTTTGTGGGGATTATTTAGGTGGTGATTATAAAACGGGGGGATGGGATTATTGCTGGTAACTTTAATGTTAATGTCAATGAACAATGATAATGACTATATTATAGTTGATGATAGTAAGTTTAATGATAATGACAGTTTGATGTTTATCAATGGTAACTTTAGAAATTAGACTATGCTTATTATTGATGGTTATTAATGACTCATGAATATGAATTATGTTTATGAACAAATAATGATCAAACATAAAAAAAATCCGGAATGATCAATGTTTGATGACACCGGAGAAGATTTTAATGAATAATCATTGATTAATAACCATTCATAAGAATCCATTATAACAACCAGCATTAACCAAAACATGCATGGTTGATTCCATACTTTTCCTACCATTTTCCCTGTCATTGTCTCATCTGAATCTGTTTTCTATGTGGAGATGACGTACAAAGAATTTCAGTTTTTTTTCAAAAACACAAAGGAAGTGAGTCTAGTGACGTTGCTGTCACTTTCAGAGGTTGATTGATCACTTCTAGATAGGTCTGGCTTGGGCCGTACTCAAGACATCATTGAACAGTTACAAGTAGCCACTAGCCACTAAATCGCCTAAATCCACGAAGTTGCCCTACCCAGGAGCTGCGCAAAGAAGGTTCACTGCACGACGGGAAGGACGAGAACTGGTCTGAACCACCCAGGTGCCGCAGCGTTGGACCGGACCAATGTGGTCCCAAAGGCATGAGATCATGAAAAACATCAGGTATATATATAGATGGATCAAGCCATATAGATGGATAATATGCCATTTATATCCATGATAGCCATATAGACACATGTTTTTATCCATATTTTTATTGTTCATGTTTTTTTTTTCCAGGCATCGTAACTGGGGGAGAAACATACGTCATTTTCAGACACAGCCAGATGGGAGTTGTTGTTTTTTTCCGATGCGGCTGGAGATGGTCCAATGGTCCCCCAGCTTGGCGCGCAGTTCAGCAAAGCCAAGTGAACGGGAGATTAGTTTGATTCATTCATTGCTAGGTTAATCTTAGATGGATACTTTAATCCTTTAGTCTTTTGGTATCAATGGGAATATCTACTAACCAGCAAAGAAATTGATTTTTTGCAGGGTACCTAAGATTAGCAATGATTGTGAAGTTTTTTTTTTGTTTTCCAATTTTCACTTCTAAACGACTAAACGCAATCTTTGGCATATATATATTATTATATATTGTTTTTTATGATTTTCTCCAAAAAGGTCGACTTTTCTCACCCATAGGATCCATGGTGCTGCTATGTATGGTGCTCCATGGATCCCATCAATATACCCCCAATCAATGTTAGCATTAATCTACCAGCACCATGGATCCGTCATGGGTACTACATAAATTATATAGATAGTAAATATGTAAAATATATGTAAATAATCCAACTATCATTGGTACTATCATGGATCCGTCATGGGTCATGTTTTGTTTCCACTTCTCATGTCGCAATTCGACATGGCCGACTTAGGCTGCTGGAGGTGCAGGTCATAGCCCTCTTCAGTTCTCGGGCAGCGCCACCCAATGAGGATGGGGGGACTGGTTTTTTGAACGGGATTCCACAGGATTCCATGACGAATTCATGGGGATTTATATGGGATTTATATGGGATTTCTATGGGATTTATATGGGATTTATATGGGATTTACATGGGATGTATATGGGATGTCCTTGGATTTTTTCTAGGGTATTTGTTTTGAGGATATTCAATGGGGAGTCCATGAAATTATGGGGATTGAACCAACAAACATAGGGATTGGTGCCAAACGCAGGGAATTTTCGGGAATGATCCACAACAGCTATCAATAATCATTCCATTCCCCAATTCCCATCCATTCCCTACGTTTAGCACCAGTAAGTAATATTCTATAGTTCTATGATGGAATAAAGTAGGAACAACAACATCAATGGATGGAGGCGATCAAACGTTGAATTGGGGGCCAAACATCACCATATACGGCTGCTACAGTGTGGAACTACGGTGCATAATTTAATATACTTGGAAACGGCAGATCAAAATCCCCCATAAAAATCCGCATTAATGGATTATGTATCTTTCAAGGGCCGGAAAATTATTGGATATATACTGGATCTATGGTATTTTTCATTGTGTATACATGTGTAATACCATCCTAGATCTTCCTCCAGGTTCCTTTTTTGGACCTCTTTGGCAGAAATTGCCTTTGTAAATTTAGAGGTTATTCTTCACATCTGTTGAATATTAGCGGCGTTTCATGGTTTTCAAGCATTTGGCATGTGTGTGACCAGCAAACCGGGGTCCATCACAACACTGCTGACAGGTGCCCTGGCTCACTTGACATGTGGGCAGTTTTTCCACAAGATCCCACAAGTAAAGATTTCAGTTGAACCTTTCAATAGATTTGGATCATGGTATGCCCATTTGCTGGACATTCATGCAGAAAAAGGGAGTTCATCTCACTGATGTTGACCAAGTTGGGTTTGGTGCTTCCCCCATCCATGGCCACCTGCAGCTGTGTGCGCTCTCTTTGTCCTTTGGGGGCGCAACTGCTTCTGCATTCGTTGGCCCTTTGGCACTTCCAAGGCTGGGGCAAAAACTGTTCAAGTTCAACAGTGTTCTCAATGTTTTCACCGCACACAAAACTGTTTTAACTATATAGCTTCATGATACTTCATACATATATTGGTTGGATATGCAATGGTGCAAAAAAAATTAGCTTTAGGGGCGAAGTATTCAAGCATCAAACAATTTCATGGGGGTTCTTCCATCCCTTGAGGACCCTTGGTGCCACTTTCAGCACCTGGCGCTAGTACCCCTGGCAAGTTTCAGCAATGCAGCTGCTCAAGGTCACCTCGTAATAAAGGTTTGATCACCATGATTGGATGGGTTCACCATTTGGCTCCAGATGATCTGTCTCTCAGTGCTTCTGACTTCCATGAGAAAATTCCGGCAATTCAGAAATATCACTGTGTCAATGAACACTGGCCCAGGGAAAAAATCAAAGTGATTTTGGGAATAAACTATTAAACTAGTATATGAGTGCATGTAAATACATGCAACAAGTCCGTGCTGAATTGAATCTAGTTGCTGCTGCAATGTCGTCGCCTCCTCCCAGTGATTCCAAAACCCATGCTCATGATGATGGCTTAGCTAGAGCTTGGGAAGGGGATTTCAATGTGAGGGAACGTATGCGCTTCGGTGCTGGCAAGCTGCTGGTCTGGCCAAAAGGCAAAGCTAATGCTGAGCTCATTGGCCAAACATCGATGCAGGCGTTGTCCATGAATTGCAATGTCCTGACGATCATGGCAGCTTGGTGGTGTCCAACGCAGACCACCCCTAAGACTCCATCGATCACAGTTGTGAAAGCACAGGTGGGGTTGAGAAAAAGGTTACCCATTGAAAGCCCAATAGCCGAACAAAACTTTTAACAATGGTTTTGAATCATTTGCATGACATGCCGCTTATATTGAACATATGTGAAGAATAGCATCTAAATTTACAAAGGTTATTTCTGTCAAAGAGGTCACAAAAAGGAACCTGGAGGAAGATCAATGCAGTAACTTTTAAAGTAGTAACACATATTTTGCACATGGTACTGCACATATATACACATTCTATATTGCATATATTCAACGCACACCACACTAGAAACAAAATCAAAAAACAAATTACAATACAAATTAAGGAATTGTATGATTAACCCACTGCCCCATCCAGGTTGCAGCATTGCGTCGCTTATGTGCAATTCCCCAAGACCTTTCTCAGCTTCAATGTGATGCGTGGGGTGTGAAGAAGTTGTTTGCTTATGGATGCCGCCGAGCTGGATTTGACAAATCTCTGTCCAAGAGCCCCAAGCGGAGAGAATCTCAACTCAAGAGAGTGTTCCAAGTAGTTGTCAGTTTGTCCTGTCTAAGACTAATCCCATCCTCGTGGATATACAAGCTGTTTATTTTCAATTTTCATGGAAGCTCCTTACTGTTCCCAAATCAAAATGCTTTGCTGCCCCGTGGGCAGGAGATTGGCGTCAATGACTTCTATGTGGAGATCTTCAAGTACTGGACCCTGAAGAAGCCTCGCAAGGCGCTTTCAACGACACCTGCTGCTACGTCTACGTCGTCTGCGTCCTCTACGTCTGGTGTTGAAGTGGTGGACTTGGCTGATTCAGGGGATGAGTCTGGTGATTTGAGTGTCATCATGGAGGTCAGGGACAAAAGTGACCCTTATACCACCATCTTCGAGGACTCTGATCAGGACTGCGCAGAGGCGGCTGCTCTCTCTGATGAGATCAGGGACTATGCAACATCCACTATGGCTATCCTGAATGATGCCATCAGTGATGCCATGGATGAAGAAGCTGCTGATGAGATTCGCCTCAGTCCTGAGTACCCTGGTGAAGATCCATACCCCGCGGTGGAGGAGCCTGTGACTGTGAATCCCAAAGAACCTGTTCCTGATCCTGACATGGGTGGACCTGTGACTGCTTCAAGTTCTATGGCAACCCCTGCTGATCAACCTGGAGTACCACCACCTGCGGCACCTACACGGGAGAACAAGACCTTCACGGACACGCAGGGTGTCATGACCATAAAGGATGTGGAGCAAAAGATCTTGTACCTCAAGTGCCTGGGCTTTAAATGGGTTAAACTTCAAATGGTTTTGTGTTAGTTTTCGTTTTGGAATTCAAAAGCTTGGTTGCTGGGTTTGGTAGGGGAAAGGTTTCTTTGTCCTGTTTACTAGGTAGTTTTCCCAACTCCCGTTTGTTTGAGGCAACTCCTTGCCCAGAAGAAACAGATGGAGCAGCAGCCTGCTTCAGATGTTGCGGACACTCTTCCATTTGATCCAGTTCCAGTGGCAGCAGCCTTGATGACAGGAAGTTCACCGGATGCTGTCTCAAGCAGTGACTCTCAGGATTCGATCGGTACGCCCAGTGGGATTTGTCGCTGTCTTGCTGGAGACTTTTCCAATGCAAAGCGAGGCCGGGGATGACCTTAACAAAAAATGTTGTTTTGTGAATTCATATGAACATGTTTTGCATACTTTGTTTGATTTTGTTTGAATACTGATATGCTCAATTTCTGTTTCTGATAGCATCTATGGTTGGCCAAGAAAGGTGGATAAGTTATTTATCTTTCCATCGATCTATATATCTTGATGCCATTCATCATATATTATATATAATTTTGATATCTCTAAATCTATAATTTATATATCTTAATTTATATAATCTCCATACATTTCAGTCTATCCCTATATTGATATATGTTTTGTTTTTAATGTTTATATCAGATGTACTTATCTGTTGTATAGATCTATAGAAAGATCCTCAATCATTCATCGAAATATATCTGTATCTGCATACCTAGATCTAAATCTATCTATACAAGAAATTTATCTATATGAATGTTTTTACATATATATATATATATACATCACCCCTACAGGTGAAACTCCGTCAAAGACAGCTGCTGGAGCTGTTGAAGGTGAAGCTGTGGAACTTGCTACGCCTGATCCTTTACAAAAACCTCTTGTGGCTGACCCAGGCAATCAGCAGGATGACCCACCCAGCACAACATCCCAGAAGAGATCACCGATGCTCATTGTGCCCAAGAACTGGGATGTCCCAATCCAGCAGCGCATGGTTGACATTTTCACAATGGCCAAGACAGGTGCTCCTGAGCCCCCGCGATCTGATCCTGAAGGTCAACGACCTGAAGGCCCACGACCTGATTGCCCACCTGATCCTGAAGGCCGAGAACCTGAAGGACCACAACCTGAAGGCCCACGACCTGATTGCCCACCTGAACCTGAAGGACCACGACCTGAAGGCCCACATCAAAATGGCACCGTTGAGAAAATGGAGATTGATGATGAGCCTCCAGTGGTTCTCAGAACTGAACAGTGGAAACTGAAGCCTGCAGGGAGAGGTCGAGGGCGGGGAAAAGGACGTGGTGGCCGCCGTGGCCGTGGTAAGGCTTGCACTGGTGAAATCATGGTGGAGTCTAGCGCTGATGAAGCTGATGAAGGAGATGTGGAAAGCAAGGCTGCAGCAGCTGCAGTTCCAACTGTGGATGAGGATGTGGGGAAGAAGCCTCGTCGACAGCCCAAGGCAAAGTCAAAACCAAAGGCAAAGGCAAAGTCATCCTCCAGCAAGAAAAGATCTTCCACTGCAGAGGAATCGTCTGAGATCCAAGCTTCAGGGGACAATGTCAATCAGGAGAGATTTTTTGTTGAACTTGTTGATTTTTTTTACTGTACCTGCCACACACACACATGTATATATACACCTTATATATGCACGTCACCATTATACCTATATAGGAATATTTTGAATAAATTTTACATATCATATGCACCAACTGTTTTAACATTTTATAGGTAAACGTTGTATATATGGACATGTGCATATACAATTTATTTTGTTTTCAGTATATTGGCCCTTCAATGTTTCCAGAAAGTTACAATTAAGATACAAAGGGTTTCCCACGGGGTTCTCATTGGTTTTCATTGGCAGGATTTGCCGCAGCCTCCCACTGAGCCTGAACCTTCTACTGGTGGGGCGGGTGAGCCTGCTGAACCTTCTGAACCTGGTCCTGGAGGTGAGAATGCCAAGGTGCCACGCAAGCGAGCAAAGGCAGGTCAGGGGGCCGCTGGCATTTCCTTTGCTCGAAGGACGTGTCCTAAGACTTGTCCCGCGAGGGAGCGTTGGAGGGCTGCCAAAGCTGTCTTTGAGGAGAAGATTGCGCCTTGCCTGCTTGAGCTTGGCTTTCGCAAGGGGCTCTATGAGGCCAGGGTCAAAAAAAATGGAGTCAGGGTGGGGGTGGGTCAAGCAGGTTCTTGAAAAGTATTGTTGATATCTTTATATTTTGTTCTCTGGAGTTTGCAAAGGTAGTTCCTTAGTTTCTGAATTGTTGTTGTTCCCATCTGTTTGTTCTTTAGCTTGTATTTGCAGGTGCATTGGTGGACCTGGTGCATGGAGAATTTGCATGAACACGACAAGGTCCAGCAGGTCACTCGAGACATGGAGACTGAGGACAATGAGGTCACTCGCAGCAATCAGTTTCATGATGCCTTCGTTGCTGCTGCCCGTGTGGAAGCTGGCAACTTCATCCAGGAGAACGGCCTTTGCATGGATGAAGACTGACTGCCGGTTGTGCACCGGCCTCAGGATGTTGCAATTAACGGAACATATCTGGTTTGGAGAGATAGATCTTTTTGGGTAGCTAGGTTGAATTGAACTTTTCAACATAGCGGGGTTTTGGTGGATAGCTCAGCTAGCTGTTCACATTACATGCTTCTCGAGCGCTGCGTCTTTGAAGCAACGCATGAGTTGAGTTGCGCTTACTCATTAGATTTGTTCTGTCCGGTGGAAAGTGTTGTTTTGACACTTTACCAAATTCATCTTTCAGAGCATTGCAGCTTGGTGCAGTCAGGGGAAACATCGCCTTTGGATGTGCATCCACATGTGCCCTGAAGTATTGGTTGATTTAATCTGTGCAAATTGACGCATTTCAGAATTACAAACAAACTAGGATTTCAAACTTGAAGTCGTGAAGTCTTAGGGATCCCAGTTCCAGTCCTTCGCTGGGTCACGCTGAGCCAGGTGGTTGGATCTCGATGCCTCGGCGCCAGATGACAAATCTGGCAAAGTTCGGCGTGGTGCAGCCCCAGCCGAGTTTGGCCGACTTGTGTTGAATGGGGTGCGCCTGCATGGGTGTTTGCCTCACACTAATGACATGTGAAACCATGTAGCGTGCAAATTGTATTTGGATTCCATATATGGTCAACACATTGTGATCGTTGAAATCTTTCGTTTTTGATGTTTGTAAAATCATGAAATATATAGATCCATTCTGATGTCAATATGCAGATTGATTGCATGCTTTTGGTGATGATGATAGATTTTAAACAAACAACATATATATATATATGTTTTACCTATACAATTCCAAAATGATTGGCCGTGCAATTGCACTGAAGAAAACATGCATATTGAATCATAAGCTGTTCTAGTTTTAGATAAATTAATGCAACCATTTCCTCTGCTATCGACAGTGGTATGGCTAATGACGAAGTTGCGAGAGATGCCGGAGAAATGTCATCACTACAATCATGATTTTGATTTGCTGGCATTCGAAGTGGCATCTCAGATGAACAATGTTTCAACCCAGGAATTGGCTAGGTAAAACCCCAGTTCAGCATATCTGTTCTGCATATGTCATGCTGTCTCCCTCTCCCGCATAGCTGTTCTGGTTCTATCTGCCATGTTTCCATAATCATCCATGGCAATTATAAACCCCGAGCCAATGCAGAAGTACAGATAGATCATCAAAAAAAACATGTCCCAAGTGGTCTCATGAGAAACATCATGGTCACATAATTGCTTTATCTATTGGCTATTTCTGCCATGAATGCATCCCAATTTGATTTGCTGGTGAAGCGAATGATTGCTATGGACACACCGAAGGCATCCCTGCTGCATATCAGTGTCATACAACTCATGTCTCTGGGAATCTATCCATGGTGATTGGGTTTATCAGTGGTACAGTTCTAGGTTCCATGTTATATAACAAGATTGATTGGGCCAATTATATGACCCCTCACTGGCCCATTCACCCCATCATGATCGGTATTGCCATGGCTCAGGTAGTTGTCCTTCTTATACTCCTGGTCTGGTGGCTGGAGATTCCTCGGTGCCAACAGTCGGAATATCAGGTGGTGGAATTCTACAGTGGTGTTGGGAGGATAGCTGAACTAGCCGCAAAGGTGGGTTTTGTAGCAGCAGCTGTTGATAAAGACTATGGGATGGACTATGCTAAGAAGAACACGAAGCGAAGCCCCATGGATATCAACTCGAATGCAGGGCTCATGTCCCTTGGTTACTGTTCATTCTATTCGGTGGGAATGGTTCATGATGCGACCCATTCAAGGTTTATGCACAAAGTTTTGGAATTCAACGGTACAAATCACATACTTAATGGATATGAAAAACATCTCACAGATAATAGCTATACTGCATGTATGCATGCATGTATATACTGTATAAATAAAGAAGATCAGAATTTGATGGATTTATATATATATAATATATATATATATATATCCATTAAAGCAAAACATTCTTAGTGTTTTGTATATACCTACTGTTTGGACATGTCTTCAAACCAAGGAGTACCCAAGGTGGAACCACCCTGTATGGTATTGTTTTCCGTGGCCCCGGAACCAAGACTGGCCATTCACATCCTGCTATTTGGAGAATGGGAACAGATATGTGCATTCTATGCAATAGTGTGCAGCTCGTGGGTCCCTGTCAACCGTGGCAGCACTGGCCGGAGCATCATGACTCCTCTTGGATGTGAAGACTATCCCAATGTACGGGCATCCAACAAAATGACTTCCAGGATGGTTTCAGTGGTTGGGGTTTCAGTAGGATCTGTGCAAGTAGGTGGTCAAGTACATATCCAATCCCTGATGACCAGTATACTAGTATATTGATCTTTACTGATTCAGATTCACAATATATTTATGAGCTTTCCTTTTGGATGATACGGTTCATGGTCATACATGTATAGTTGGAGTTTGAATCTGATCTGTATATATATATATATATATACAAAATGGACTGCTGTGTGGGTTACTCGGGTTCATATCAGGTTTGCACCTCTTATCAAAACATGTGAACTATAAAACAACGTCTTATAAAATGTATTTCGTAAATCATTTTTGAATGCTTCAATGGATGGGTCAAACATTCCACTATTGGAAGGGTCAACTGTTCTTTTCCTCCATATGTGGTTACCCAAATACAGTGGATTTTATGATCCCATTCTGTCATATGACGCGCTGACCTTGCATATTCGAAATCTGTGGTTCTTCCTGTCATAGGTTTGCTGCCTGATTCCGACGGGATATACCTTACCCTGCCAAAAAAACAGATATCATATTTCTTGTGCCCTAGAACGTTGTTGATTGTTAGACTTGGCAATTCTGAATTTCGGAAGTGGACCATGGATGTAGAAATCACTTCTGGAAAAAACAACACAGTCCTGCTGCAGGACAGTTATCCTAATTTGGATCACTGTGCTCATGGGTGGCACCTACTTCATGGAGAACCCGCAGAACTCGCTGGTGGCGTTGCATCCAAGATACATATGGATGCTGGGCCAGCTCCGTAAGATCGATGTTTTTGTTCCTTGCATCAAGCATGGCGAATGTTCAAAAATAATCCCAAATTCACCACCCAAAATGAGGAGTCCATGAATGTTTGGTTCATGGGCTGTATCGGTAGATGGGGGAACTCATCCGGTAACTTTGATATACGTATAAGATGTATATATACAGGATAGCATAGGCATGCAATTTATTTGGTAGGCAGTCTTTTCAATTTTCAACCAACATCTGAGACTTACAAGATTGCATTCTGGATGCGAAAATATTCCTCACTTTCCTGGAAAAGAACATGGGTTTGGAGCAGCACTCCACTGATCCGTGCGCTCGACTTGGGACCTTTGACAGAACAGGAGCGATTTACATCCCGTCCAACAACTACTCGATATAAGGATGCAAAGGGTAAGACCAGATTCAAGGGCAATACAAATCTCAAGCGTAGCCAGTACCTCGATTGCATATCATGACATGACTCCCCCTTGGGTTTTAAGTTGGATGCCCATGTCCTTTTTTAACTTAGGGTCAACTGTACCAGCTGTCTTCCAGGCAATACACCTACAAGTTCGCCGGGAAACTTATCAGACTGGTTGGGGAAGTCCGGAAGCAGAAGGTTCACCTGCCAATTGAGGCCAGCATGCCCAAGGTTGAATATACTTACAAATGATATAATATATATATATATATGTATGTGGTGTGATCAGAATCATGAATAACACGGTTGGTTATGGGGCATTGGGTAGACCAATCGTGTTACTTATATTGTAGCTTCATACTTGTATGCACATACTATATATATAATACATGTGCGAATAACATATGTGCATGCATGCATGCACATGATAAATATGTAACACCGAAACACACTTGTAGACCAACTGATGCCGAAGTCATGTGCATGGTACATGATTCCAAAGTTCATAACTGCATTTGGCTGATTGGTTTCATAGTGGTCCAGCCTGTTAATCGGTATGTACAGGTATCTTCGGATTCTATCTTCAACCTTTTCGAGAAGATGAAGTGGGATCAGCAATCTATTGCATGGGAACAAGAGGCTGATTTACGGAAGGTTCTCCAGTACGCCCGGGGAAGTAAGCTCCTACGAGTCCCTGAAGGTTGGAAAGAGATCATTCCAAAAGAAATTTGAAAACCAGTGCATGGGTATGATACCCCCAAAACATTGTTATGTTTTGGCTGTGAAATTAAAAAGCATCGTCTGGAAACCATCCACGGTGCTGCCTGTTTCGGCTTGGCTTGCACGGCGCAAAGCTGTGGATTCCTCGGCAGTTTGCGTTGAAACAGGGGTACCAGCTCATTGCCATCATCAGCCAGTATGTTTGTTGTGATTGGGTTCTTATAATTGATGATGATCAAAACCAAAGATTGTGGAAATCCACATTGGCAGAATATTGTTTACCATTAATCTCTATAGATTTATATATATATACACCTTCATCACCAACTGTGGGTCATCCTACGTGGTTGGGTGAGAAGCCATGGACGGGGTTTTGCAAGAGGACGACAGTGATTTGGTTTACAAAGTTAATAGGAGAGATGTGGGGGTAAATGAGTTATTTGTGATCTTAGTATCCAACAGGATGATGACTACTTTGATAGTTTTGGTGAAATTACAGTAATTCATCTCACATAATAACCTCATCCTGATATTCTGGATCCTTATCAAATTGTCATGCTCCACATATGTGAACCTAATTGGAATGATGGTGATGGTGGTGAATTTTCTGTAGGTTCATCATAGTACGTGAATCTGTTACCCCAATACCATATTATGAATTTCCCAGATGCATGTGTTACTGCATTCAGAAACTAATCTTCAAAACCAAGTGTTATATATCGATCTGAACCCATGAGCCCATTAATTTGGTTGGGTTTATCATGGATGGACTGTCTTAGTTAAATTCAAAAAATATCATGTATGATAATTCTTATATCAATTAATTGGTCATGTTAATTATCATAACCGGGTATTTGATCTATGATAATGTTGAAAATTATAATTAGTTAAGCCAAAAATATCATGCATGATATTTTTTAATATATATTTATCAAAAAATATCATGCATGATATTTGTGATTAATTATATTTATCAAAAAATATCATGCATGATATTTTTGTTTGTTTAATTATAATTAGTCAAAAAATATCATGCATGATATTGGTGATTAATTAATTATAATTAGTCAAAACAAAATATCATGCATGATATTTGTGATTAATATATATTTATCAAAAAATATCATGCATGATAATTTAGATAAAGTTATGTTGAAATCATCAAAAATCAGAGGCGGAATCGCCCGGGAACGCGGCGGAATCACCCGGGAAAGAGGCGGAATCGCCCGGGCATCGTTTTCCAATCCCTCAAAATTATGAAATTATCATACATGATACTTTTCCCATGAAATTATCATACATGATGATTTGATGGGATCCATGGTTCATGTGACAATTGTTGGATATCCCGCTGTTTGCATTGATCAAGTCTGTGGTTCTTTCCACTGGTTCTCCCCCAGCTTTGGATGGTGCGCCACCTTGAGTCTCGGGTGTTCTCCAGTGAGACTTTGGTGGCTGGAGTTGATATGGTTGAGATGGGCGCTGGACTACCTAGCCCTCCTTCTGACACCTTTGAGTTGATGCAGGAGCTAGCATCGTTGGAGGCGCATATAACCATGTTAATTCAGTCATCACGGGAAGGGATATATATATATATATATATAAATATCTGGAATAAACATTGAGCATAGCAAGACCCCATCCAGCACAGTTGGATTGTGTTATTTCAGGTATGCTATCTAAAAAAATCTTATGATCCATCTATGAAGTAACACATCTTGGCTCTGGCAGGCCATGAAAGCCCAGATGGAAGCTGAAGTCAAAGCTGTTCCTACACCTCTCCGATCTGACCAGACCAGTACTGTTGCTGAACCTGATGCTGATACCATCCCCGGTGACATTTCGGTTGGTCAACCATCCCAGCCATCATCAGTTGATGGGTGTCCACAACCCCTGTCACCTTCAGCTGTGGTTGACAAGGCACCTGCACCTGTGGTTGAACAGGTAGATGTTGAGCAGCCACCGGCACCTGCGGATGAAGTGGTAAACCCACCTATGGTTGACCAGCCACTTGTCCCTGTGGATTCCCAGTCATCGGGTTCGCCTTTGGATGAACCTGATCATCCAATTGATCCGTATACGGTTGACCCAGTTTCTTGGTTGCTCTTGTTGCTTTGGGTGCCTGGGGAAACCATCCTTTCTGAACGATCATCATGCAAGCAGTGTTGAAATGATCTGACCCTGCACGACCAATCACCCTGTTGTCATTTTCAATCCACCAATTGTGTTTCTTCCCTAGGGTGAATCATTACCTGTAACACCATTCTGTTGTCTGTACCCATTGTCACGGTATGTGTTGAGAAAAAATAATCATCACGGGGTTTGATTTTGATCATAAGCTGATGATGATCATGATGATGTTGGCAATTATGCTGATGATATAGTAGCTATCACGACGATCACAATTGCCCCGGTAATCATACAAACAGCGCTGACAATCATGATGATTAGGATCATTACAAATTGAAACTCATCGGTCATTATGATGCATGGTATATATACATAATATATTATATATATGCTAATTCTAAAGATCAACTTTTGTGATGCTTATGATGGTTGTAATGGTGATTCCTTTTACATTATTCAAGTCATCAACTATAGACATGATTAGTTAGAAAAAGGGTCTTGAAGACACTAGTAGCTGATATGGGATTATACTTATGATGATGATTTGTTCCCGGCGTGCCTTAACAGCATCGCTTCTCAGGACTTCTTTGGGTCAACTAGCCTGATCGGGAAGTCAGTCAATGACATTGGGGAAGGAGGAAAGACACTACATGAACACATGTCCAAACAAATTCATTATACATTTTATTGTGGGAGCTACATATGGTCCTTAATAGAAGTTATATATACATGCATGCACGTATACTTTTTTGTGCTAAACTCACTAATGCATTGACCAAGGACATCGATGAGCCTGTTGCTCATGAAGATCCCTATGGCCGTGCAGGGCTTGCTGAGCATACTGGGGCTACAGGGGAAGAGACGCAGGAGGATTGAGAAAGGGTTACAGTCCAACATGTTTTTTTAAAAATGCATGTTTTTGTGTATATGTGAGAACTGACCTATACTGACGTAACATTTCACAGATGACAATTAGTTGCATGTGCGCATGCATACTTTTTGGTTTGGGATTCTCTACTTGGTTTGAGAGGAGACTGCTTCTTCTGACTACCTCGCGGCGTTGATGTCGATGATGCTGGTTTCGGACGATGATGCTGCTGATGCAAATACTCCGAATGTGAAGGACACATCATTTTATGCCTATAAAAATAAACATTGAAAACACGCACCCCGACAGAACACATGATCAATTAGCTCTAAATATCGATTTGCTTATACTGTGACACTGCAGGATGCTTCTGTGCCCTGCAGTTCTGACCTGAAGACTTCCTCCCACATCATGAACCCCCCCGAGAATGAGAAGAGCCCTGCCCAGTCCAGCAAGACTATGAGTAACCGGCAGAGCCTCCAAAAAAATGATCGGAATACGACCCCAGTAGCTTGGTTGTATTTGTTCACTTGTGGATTGTTTTTTGCAATCTGGATCATATCATAGATCTTAAGAACCTTGTGTCTGTTGAGGCCAAATCGCGAGGTGAAAGTGCGAGTGATAAAGTTCTTCGCCGCATCATGCAGCCCCGTTGTGATGGGACGTATCTTGTGCCACAAGAGGTCTTGGAAGCATACCGGGATCTCACCGATGGAGGGAGGGAACGTGTGCAGAAGATGTGGGCGCAATCATCAAATGACAAGGAGATGTTTTTACTTTTTTCACATTAGATTCGGGTAAGTTTTGATGAACCGATGTTTGTTAAATGTATCTAATGATCATTACAGTTCTATTCAGTGTTGACCATCTGTTGCTCTGTCTAGGACACCTTCATCAAGAGCTGCAAGCGCAAAGTTCAATCTATCCATGAGCAGGATTTATGGTTGGACGGAAACTTCATGAGTGAGAAGGACATGCAGGACGACAACATATCTGCGTACTTCTACTGCAACAATGTCATGCGTTGTTTATTTTTCTTTTCTTCACTATATGTTTTGGCTATGATACTTCTGATGTATGCTTCTCAGCAAAATAAATGCAACAATATCAATTACTACATGCAAGTTTTGTTGACCATATATGTGTACAAGGGTTCCAATTGGGGTTCACGCACTTTCCAAGGGAACGCATCAAAGCCATCAAAGAGACGTGTGCCAAGACCAAAGGTTGGATTCGGCGCCTTGGAGATGGTACAGTACAGCCTGTCTGTATGTGGGGACAGCAGGGATCATATAGGGGAAAGCTGAGTTTAGAGATGTATAGATATTGATTGAGATCGACATAGGCAAACCGAGCTACATTTACACATTTCCTATATCTAGGATGATATATATGTCTCTTAGATGCAAAAGCATAGAGAGAGATCGATATGGATGCACATAGCTACGATGAACATAAAAGATATAGATCGACATTGTTGGAGATACATAAGTGTGGATCGAAACATATGAAGAAAGATGGGATACAAGAGAATGACAAATGGCATCTATATTATATTTGCTATTGTTTCCGTATATATACAATATCTATATATATATATACATTTTGTTCATTTTCGCTATCTGAGGCGTGACCGCTATGAGAAGCACGTCAAAGTCTATTGGGTTGAGAAGGGTTTGCAAGGCCGAATGCTGTTGCTTGACTGCAACTATGGATGACTTTTGTTTCTTCCATATGTGTCAACTGGGAAATTCGGAAACAATTAACCATCACACGCAAACTCAAAACACCAAGGAAGCGAAGGCGACAGGTTCTTGAGGAAGAGGAGGACTTGAACGAGTCTGACTATCAAGATGCCTTGAAAAAAGACACTTTCTTGCCCCAAATGCAAGACATGGAAGAAGATGACACAGGCTTGATTACATTACTTTCCGAACTCAATCATGTTGGCACCAGTTACAATCCATACCCTCACTACACCCCCTGCCTTCAGATCCAACCGTGGTAATTGAAGCTGATGGCCAAGATGGTGCCAAAGCTATCCTCAAGAAGATGACGTGGCCCCTCATGGATGATGATGCTCTTCCCAGCAGCTATACCACCCGGGTTTTAACATGCGTGAGTAAGTGGCGAGTCAAAATGCAAACTTTGGTCGAAGCTTTTGAATCTGACCCTGATGAGACAGAAAATACAAAACAGAATCTTAGCTTGATCATAAAACTTTATGCTTTACATGTTAGATGATATATATATATAGATCTACAGGATTTATTTTTTGATATCAAATTGATGTGAAAGGAATCTGAATCTTGGTTCACTAAGGGTCAGTTCAAAGGCCCAACAGATTGATGTTGAGCTGATGAAGTTCACCGACAAGATCACTGGCATCAACACTCAGGGGATCTGCAACGGTTTCAAGAGTGAGTGCCTTCCTTACTTGATGTTTGAATTATTTATGATCAGATTGTTTTTCAAAGTAACTGAAATTTGACCTGGATCAAATCCCTTGACCTTGCTCTCCAACCTCTTCATCACTCCCTTACTTGCCCAGCCACTTCAGGGATCAAGATGACTTAAGTGACAGCTATGATGAAGCCCGAACCAAGTGCCTTGGTATGATCTGGTGGTCCCGTGGTGTCTGTATGAGCCTGATCGGAACCTAGAACTTAGATAAGATGGTGCAGCTTCACTTCGGTTGGGAGGGTGACATGGACATGCATCATGTGTATGTTTGCGGCAAGATAGGTGAACTATCACAGTTCTGAAGCATTCCAACTAGTTTAAATTATTGTTTGGATCACTGACCGATATACTTATATACAATGTAGATCGACTTTTGAATCTTTAGTGATAAAACACTTGACACCTATGTTTGATCTCATTGAAGCCAAGTGCACTCCATTTGGATCCAAAAGTTCTCAACCAAAGAGGTCTTCCAACCGCCTGGGTCTGTGCCACTAGCTGCTTGTGGTTCAACATGTTCCTGGGTCATGGGGAATCAAACCATCAAAGAACATGAATGTAATAACTATATGTTTCAAATTTGTTTGCAACATGAACGTTGTAAATTAGGGGTGCAGACATCATATCAAATCCCAATGGATCTAACAATTGACACTGAGACACTTGTCTTATAATGCAATCGCATGGAAAAATGTAAGCTTTACTTCATGCTAAGAAGGCTGACCGAAACAGTTAAACTATGTAGAACGGGCGCAATGGAGGAAGGCGACTTTCTCATTGAGTTACTCACATATGAGTGCCCATATACTGGCAAAAAACGGCTTGCTGGAAACGGTCCGCTGGAGAACCTTGACTGTCTTCTACCTGAGAAAAGGACCCTTTTGTTTGGATTGTTTTTGAAGAAAAGTCTAAAGTTTACACTGGGTTGGGCATCCATCATCTGTTGCCCAAATATGCTGGGATTGAGGAGCAATATCAAGTTTAATTCTGACCCTGATAATCTTGATCTGCCCATGCATATTATATATATATATATATTTGTAAAATATACAATATATATATACATACAAGTATATATATATACATACAAGTATATATATATAGATAAATATATATATATATATTCATGTGGATCAATAATCATCTCAATTTACACAGTACCTTTTAGATCAGTCCCTTCATGGCCAGGACCAAAACCCATGCAGCCCAAGTTCCAACACTGCATGGCAACAAGCTGGCTGTTTGCCAAGTGATCAGCAGGGCTCATCCAGGAAGGGCTCCTGTGCACAGTGGAGTGCAACCATCAGTGGATCAGCGTGCATGACCGTTTTGTTTTTTTATACAGTGGCCCCCATTTTTCATAGTAGCCTGAATCCACTGAGAAAAGCCTGTTGGTTGATATTGTTTAACGTTGCATGGCCACAACGGTGAGTAAACTACTCAACCATGCACACTATGCAAACTGAGGTGGCTAGCATGTTGATTCACATCGCTGAGAACTTTGATGGAACGAACATTCCATGGGACCAGTTGAAGGAGTGTCATGTTCACAATCGATTGCCCCGATTCTCATCGCCCAGTCCCACTTGTGGAAAAATTCTGCTGCATTCGAAGCAGCAGGTTAATGCCTTCAGAGAAATGATGGGCATTTCAATATGTGTGTTTAAGATTGGCATCAGTGTCAATCCGGCTCAGAGATTCATCAGCTATCTCGACGTCAATTTTCAGGTGATGTGGGTAATTTACCAAGGTCCTGACATAGGACTGGTCCATATGCTGGAAGCAGCATTAATTGATGAGTTTCACCCAGTTTCCGGTTGCAGGAATGCAGCCCACTCTGGAGGGGAAGGAGGTCTCAACGAAAGATGCCATTTGGGACCTCCATATTTTGTTTATATCACTGGGGGGAAGGCTGACCAACTTAAGCGTGTTGGCTAAGTGAGATTGCAATCTTGTGCTGTACAGGTATGCAACGGCGAGATGTCAGCGTTGACAAAGAGTTCAACTATTTTGTCTTTGGGGTCAGTTAGTATCCGGTACATTGACCATATATATGGTATCCTGCCTGCCATTGCCCCTTCCATATCCGAGCCCACAAGTTTCCTGCTCGCCTTTGCAACATCTGAGGTGCGCCGAAGCTCTCAGCCTGTTCACGCGAGCCCAGCCACTTGACGAGGAATTTGGTATCCGAACCAGGGTGGGTTGATGAGGTTGATCCTGTTTGGATCTGATGATTTGTATTGAGAAACATGCCATACAATGCATTATATATTTATATACGTGGTATATATGTGTATATGCAACTATAGGTCTATCTTACTGATTGTTAAATATGCTAACCTCACATTATATGCATGCATGCACATCTATGCAATCAGTTTTGCTCACATTTTTACATGTGATTTTGTTGTCCATATATGGTAACAACCAACTGAACAATCAGGATGGCACACGTCAGGTCCATATGACAGTGCACTATCATTGTCATCATCCATGATCTAAGGCCATTCCTCAGCCACCTGAAGGCCAAGCTCCGCAAGATGGAGAAAGATGCTGAGAAGGAGGAGATGCCGCGTACACCAGCACCCAAGAAAGCGGTGAAGGCTGAGGTGAGGTCTAGGAAAGCCAAATAGATAGAATCCTGTGGTCGCTCTAATGACCTTTTTCGGGGAAATGCTGAGGCTAGAGCCTTGCATGACAGCTGCTCTCATGGCACACCATTTTTCTGGTTTTGAAAAAACATTGGATCACAACTTCCCAGCCATCTTGAATCTATTATAATGTAGTTTGAACCTGTCATGCGTGCTCCTTGGTATGGGGAAGGCAATGTAAAATTGTTGCCAACTGGGTGATGAACATCCGGTCTTTTCAGATCTTCGATGCTGAACTGTGAAAATTCAAGTCTCCGGTGGTGATGACCATCAAATCCCGGCCTGCGCCAGCTGAGCTGCATTGGAGCTCTGGCTTGAAGAGAAAACATCCTTGCATGGCTGTTGTTGTGAGTGGTGGCGTTGGGTCAGTAAATCTCGTAACACTGGATGCATCAGTCACCACCAACCCATGACCAGGAACCCTTCTTTTCATTTCCTTACATCCCTAAATTGTAGATCTCAACTATCAAAAGCCAGGTGCAGAACCTGCAGAACCTGGACCTTTGCTGACTCATGTCGTTGACATGATTGCCAATGGTGACTCTTGGCTTTCAATGGCCAATGGTGGATGAATATCAGTGCTGGTATTTATATATATATACGGTAAAAACATCAAAAAGTAATACATATATTAAATTAATCTGTATACATAATTAATATATATATACCTTCCTTACTGATCATGAAGAAAGTCCACTTGATCAAAAACTGTGTCAAGTTCATCTTTTCAACCTGACTGTTTCAAAGATTGAAGTGAATGGTGGACCCATGTACCTCTTGACCACGGCCCGCCCATGAGGCTCCTGCGAAAGCTTTGGTGGATCAAGGCCAAGCTTTGCGAGCGGAGTTGGGCACCTGCGATGTTGGACGGGTGCTTCATGATTCCACTCAGAGTGTCTTGCATGGTCATGAGACCAATTCCTCCCGGCAATTCAAAAGGGCTGTGGCTAGATTCGGCATGGCTATGATCCTCATCTGAAATAAGACAATTGATTCAGTTGTTAAATCCTGTTTTAATGCCAGATTGATTCATCACTTGGATCGTCCCTTCAGATGAACACTGCAATCACACACAACCACATGGCTAGTATATGTTCAGCATGATGCATGTATGAAACATATGATCTTTAAAGATTCATCATTTGTACATGCAAAAAATATATGCATGTTGAAAGATCCTTTGATATAGAACTGCATGTACAAATAGATTATCGATGTAGATCGATCAATCATCCACATTTGATCCGTGAGAGTGCACTTCTTCCGAGGAGAATCCCAACATCCTACCACTTGGTTGAAGGGGAAGGCTTTGTTGTCAACATGCCTTACCTCAAGCCGAGTTCAGTCTTACAGTATCTTCTTCGAACTGAGCCGTGGATTTTGCTGGGGGGTTTATCTCCAGGAGCTGAGGCCCAACAATTGTTGAACACTTTTTGGACGGCTTACAAAAAGGATCATCCAACCCATGCAATCTACACGCAGGGTGAAAATCTCAAATTTGTGATCCCTATCACATTGCATGGTGATGGGGGTCGCACGGCGAAAAAACAACCACTGGAGATTGTGAGCATCCATCCAATCTTGGGCCTAGATACAAAAGAAAAAGCTTTCAAATGCAGCTGTGACTGTCCAACATGGTTTTCTGGAACCAACCTGGATGACCCTTGCTGTATCAGATTGAATTCGAAACACAATTCTTATTTGACCCATTTTCTACTGTGTGCTTTTCCGAGCAAGAAGTACAAGAAGCTGCCGAACCTTCTTCGTGAAATGCTGGATGTCATCGCGCAAGACCTTGCAGCTGTGTGCAAGGATGGTCTTTCATTGGACGGTGTTGAATACAAGTTTGCTGTTTTGGGCATGCTGGGTGACATGGAATACCATTGCAAGATTGGTGTGCTTACGAGATCCTATCACAACATTGGACACAGAAATATGATCAAGGTTTGCCACGAATGTCACGCAGGTGATCCGCAATTTCCTTTTGAAGATTTTACCACTGGAGCACGCTGGAAAACATCTATGTATGTTGATGTTCCATGGGCTGCACCCCCTCCTTTTCATCATATTTTGTATGATGGTAGCTGGATGTCAGGAAGGGCTGCATCGTTCTTTAAACGGGATCCTTTCCACATTTTTCGCCTGGGGGTGGCAAGGAACATGCTTGGATCTAGCATTGTACTTTTGGCTGGTGATGGATTCTTCGACTATGGTGAGGAAAGTCGCTCAATCGAAAAACGACTGGAACGGGCTTGGGCCAATTTTTCCTTGTGGTGTATCACTCAGGGGGAAAGATGTTCTGCAATACGTTCGTTCTCCCGTGACAAACTGCACTACCCAAATGCTACTAGTCACCCTTGGGTGGGGTGCAAGGGAAGTGATACTATCGTCATCATGAAGTGGCTTGATTGGTTTGTGAAATTGCAGTTGATCTCCAATCCGGAGTCTGAAGCTTTACAAAAGATTTCAAAAGCTTGCTGCCATGGTTTGAGATTTCAATGCATTTATCGGCATGGTGTGTTTTGTCGCCCTCATTGCCGTGATCAAATAGTGATGTCGTGCAAGAAATTTTGTGGTGCCTACGCTGAGCTTGCTCATCTTTCTTATGTACAGGGCCGCACACTCTTTGCAATGGTGCCAAAGGCACATGCTTTTGATCATATAGGACATAGCTTGGTGCTGTCTAGGGAAGCCGGTTGCGATGTGTGTGTGAACCCTGGCTTGTGGGATTGCAGCATGTCTGAAGACTTCATTGGACATGTGGCCAGGCAAAGCCGGAGAGTGTCATATAAGCATGTGGTTGAGAACACACTCTTGATGTACAAAATAAAGACCAAGAGCGTCATAAAAAAATTCAAAAAACAAAGGCTACGATCCTGAACTGTGAAATTGAAAAGATGTTTCAGTGAAATTTCTTTCAGAAAGAAAACCTTAGTGATGTGTCAATACCAGGATCACAGCTTTAGAATGGTGTGATTTCAGCCCGAACGCAGCTGTCTAAAAAGAAAGGTTTGCGTCTTTGAGGCCCTGGCTCTCACCAAAACCATGCGAAGTACCATGGGCTGGAGAATGATGGATGCAGTTGATGTTCAAGAATATGTTGAACAATCATTCAAACACTCATGCTGGTCACTGATGTGGTTTCACCTCATGACCTTCAATTCTGAACTTGGCATGCGCGCTTTAATCTCAAAAATGATTGGACTAATCCATTCATTCATCTGATGAAACAATTGATCATCACGGATCACCAGCTTGTATTGATCAACATGGAAGGCCCGGCGGGGAGGTCAGCCAGGATGGTCTGGATGGCTTTGGATCCTTTCATTGATACATGCATGTACAGTATATATATACAGTACTCATTCTATAGTTAATAACATACAACTTGATCACATACCACAGGGTGAACAGAGGCAATTGTGTAAATCAGCGGCTATTCTTGAGATTAGAGGTTGGAACTTTAGCCTCTAGCATTAGAGGCTGAAAAAAAGCACCACCGGATGATAGAGGTATGTATTGTATATATATATATACATACACACTGTATATAATTATGTACTTGCACATATGATTCACATTAACACACAACATATATCATCATATCATCATATTCTCATTTTGATGCAGTAATTTAACTATGAGACTGTTTCGCAACAGCAAAACTGGCCACTGGCGGTGCGCCTGGCCCAGTCTGATAGATCTAACGACAAGATCCAACATATTCTTCAACATGTAGTTACAAGTCGTATCTTAACATATCTTAACAACAAACAACAACATGTATTGGGATATTTTGCATATCAAATGTAAATTTAATATGTATAATCACGGGCTTTCCTGCCTCAGGGAGCCTCATGAACGACAGTGTGACCGTCCACAACAGCACGCCTCGCACGTGCCGTTGGCTCTTCTTTTGATTCGAGAGGATCCTGTCCAGGGAGAGCTTGGTGTACTTACCGACATAAATGAGATTTAACCATGGAAAAACATGGGGTACGAGGATGTACAAGGGGGGCATCATGGGATTTTTGGTGGAATGTAACAAGTCTGGTTGGTTTAAGGGAACATCGAGAGGAAACCATAGGTTTTCGCCTTCAAATTTGGGGAGTTTCCTGCAGATATTCCATGAAACCCAATCCAATGATATGATGGAATCAGCCCCAAACAGCCTATGTGTGATTCGTGTCTTAAAATATCCCTGTGACCTACCTTCTGTGGACTTTTCTTGCATGATCTTGCATGGAAGATGACAACATTCGCAGCGTCAAATGTTTGTTTTGGCACTGCACAGAGAACGGATCTTCCAGACATAGCTGCCGTTTCTCATCTGCACTCCGCGCCCCACCTGTACGAAAACTGATGCTTTTCCGATCCTCGCCATGCCTCAACCCATCGTGAATCACAGGTCTGATTTTTGCAAATGTCTGATTCACTTTTTGACCAATAGATCTATAGATATCTATAGCCTATAACATGCTTCTACTACTCTGTAGTTTCTCATTGACCATGACATCATGACAAAACATGTCCATCAATCTGCATGTCTATCATGCTCCAAAATCTGCTCCGTGCCATGCAGCCATTGCTTTCCCCACGGAGCTCAGAGCCCGACATTCCAGTGGAGATAGCCAGCCAAACGAGAAGCACCTGGCTCCAGCGCTTCGGCCCTGAATTTTCCAGGGCCCAACGGCCCAACTGGATCCGCACACTGGGGGGCTGTGCAAGTGGGAGAAGATATGAATAAATGGGTCCATGCAAACATATCCCACATCTTCTCAGAGACTGGCTAGAGCATATCTGAGTGAAGGGCATTGTTCCCATGATATTCTTCCATTCTGTTTGGTGAGCGTGGTGGATGGATCAGGTCCAACAAACACGTAACTCCCTGCTGGGCGGTACCAAGTCAACCAACTGGAAAATCAAAATGAAGCTCACAAGGAAATTATCTGCACATACTGAACTGGTTGGTGGTATACCTACCCCTCTGAAAAATATGAGTTCGTCAGTTGGGATGATGAAATTCCCAACTATTTCTGGAAAGTCATAAAATTCCATGGTTCCAGTCACCACCAACCAGTGAATGATGCTAAATGTTCTATTTCATTCGGGGGATGATGCCTTTCTGTCGTTGTAAGGGGGTATGGAGATCACCCCAGCCCAGCTGTACCCCCTGGGCTCACGTTCTGGCACTGCCATGTAGACTTCCACGGCTCCCGGCTGCGCGATCATCGTACGGACCTCGTACACCAGCCATTTAAGCAGTCCATGCCCCTTTGGTTTGGATTCCTGGATATCCAGGTCACCCAAGAGTGACCATGTTTATGCAATATGTGATAGTCCAAAGAATGATGGTTGGTGAATAGACTGAGCCTATCCACCATGAGGATTTTGCAAAAATTGCACATGCCAATGCCTAAAGTTTACTACCTTGGGATATGTAAACTGTGGGTCTATGTGGGTATCATAGCAAAATTATGATCTGACCGTAGTATGAGAATTCGACCAAACATGGCGACATGAACTTGATAGTGGCTGGATAATGAGCCACCCCCAGAAACCAAAGAGCACTATTTGGGATCATCATCCCATTTTGAATGGGTGAACTACCCTCTGGAAAAACTAATATAGCTATGAAAAAACACAATTTTTAATAGGTAAATCATCTATAAATGGTCCATTTTCCATAGCTTTGCTAAATTACCAGAGGTTGTATATATATATATATATTATCTCTTGGGAACACTTGGAGCTCCAAGAACCTTTCAACATTCCCTAACCCTTAAGGTCTCCCATTCAGACCCGATTCTCATCATTCAGCATGTCAGCTATGCGTCGACACATGTCAAAACCAACATATGGCTGAAATTGGATGTTTATCATCCCCTAAAGATTCTATAAGAAATCTATAACTCTATAGATCGCCCATTTTTTCTAACTTTCGGCCGAACCTCTGGGCGCCGTTTCGGACCCACGAGATCAATGGTACCAAGCGACGGGTCCAGAAGCTGCGCTGAAATGCAAGCAGCTGTTGGTGCTGGCCAGCTCGGCCAGGCCTGTATTTTGACGTGGGGATAGATCGCCATATGAAAACATCATGGGGATATCCTATAATGGAGACTAATCTGATGGATTTTCCAGATTAAATTCTATACATGCATATATATATATACATATAAACGGAGATTAATCTGATGGATTTACCATGCTAAATTCTTTCTCTCTCTCTCTCTATGTATGTATATATATAATATAAGCAGTAATAAATAATAATAAATGGTATCTTATGGGATTTCGATGTAACATGTCACCAATAATTGTCACCAATGGGATTTAATCCATTTTAATCCCATCCCCCTATAATTAACCACCCCCCATTGCATGGTCCCAAATACGTGGTCTTATAATCTTTTATCCCCTACATCCACCATGGTTTCTGGGAGGTGTTTAATAATATGGAAGGGATTATATGACCAACAAATACCAACACTATGGTATGGGATATTTTATGGTAAATGTTCCCAACCATCTGATGTGTGTCTGCGTCTGAAAACTCATGGTTTAACCATTCAATCTGGTCATCCCCTCATTGGTCCTGGTGATTTGTGCTTAATAACCCCTCTACCGGGTTCCCGCATCCACCAAGAAAAAACCCACAAAACCCTGCGGTATTTCGTGGTGTGGGATTAAAGATTAAACAAAACATCAAAGAACTCCATTTCATTCTTAGATACCTTGCATTACCTTGCATCTTGTTGCATGAATGTTTAGTACATTACATATCTTAGCCATATCCCAATTTTCGCCATTCACATATCTTTTCGTACAAATCCAAGGTCGACCCTCAAAACCAGCTTTCCAGGCCTGCTCGATAGCGCCAGCGCAGGTGAACTGACTCGGGTTCAGGCTCACCTGAGGATGCAGCCACGGGTACCCGCATCAAATTCCTCCAGGTTGATGATGTTTTAAATTAACATAAATCAACACAGACACACACATCTATATATATATCTATCTATCTTTTTTTTTTGCAGCCATACCTCGCATCGACTGAATTAGACGATTGAGCTGCGAGGCGTTGGCGCAGCAAGAGACTGAACGCTAAAACTGTCTGCTTACGGCTGCTTCATACACCCTTTGATCGTTCATGTGAGTCTCACCATAATCATAATGCCCTAATTTGTTTTCATAAACATACTTTTTGGTATGATGCAGCCAATTTTGACGAGGCTTTCCAACTCGCTTGGTTCCGTATTCAGCTCTGTGCGCAGAATCAGGTAGAAAAGAAATTTGCCTCATAGGGTCGTTGCCGTTGCTTCTTAATATGTGTCCAAGCAATTTTACTCGTCTATTCATGTGATACTCACTGAACGGTATAATTTTTCTGCGGTCACAGCGAGATGGGTAAGCGATGGAACTTGCTTCTTCTAATAATGATTTGTTTGTATTTCTACGGTCTATAAAAGTGGAGTTGCGTTGTAAAATTCTCCGTAGGCCGCGCATCTGGAAAGCATCTAATTTTCTGCTCATAGCCTGCGTCAAGTGAATGGTTTCTAAACCATACAACAATTTACTACGAATTATGGCGTCATAGATAATGAGTTTCCATTTTTTACTCGCCCCGGATGCTTTCCAGTACGGCTCGAGCTTGTACCATGTGCGTCGCACTTCCGACATTTTGTTAAAGATCTCGAATTGAATATTGACCGTCTTGTTTATTTCATTTCCCAAGTATGTGGCTTCGAATTCCTTTGTTAAAGGGGTACCATCGTCAAAATGGATGGAACCATTATTATTCATGGCGATTGCGACACATTTACCTTTATTGAGTCCCAAGCCATATCCTTTGGACACGTGCTCGGTGAGACGTAACAATTCATTTAACCCTCTGTTGCTTTTTGAGAAAAGCACTGTGTCATCTGCGTAAAAAATCATGTCAAAGTCCACCCCGGGGATTCGGTTGTTAGTAACATACGATGAAACGCTCTGTTGGATATCAAAGTCTATGCAGGTCATGACTAAGACAAAAAGAAATGGGGATAATGGACATCCTTGACGAATCCCGGAGGCCTGTTGCTTAGTACTAGATGAACCAAAATTATCTTTGACGAAAAACATAGGCTTAGAATAACAATCCGCAATGACCTCAGTATAGCGACGGCTGAAGCCCAGTCGGCGCAAAGCAAGAATAAGCTTGTCATGTTGAATTTTATCAAACGCTTTTTCCCAATCGAGTAAAGCAATGCTAAGGTGGGTCCCCTTAATTTCTGAATAGTCCTGAATCCTTCTGAGAACGTATATGGCATGCGAAGTTGATCTATGAGGTCTGAAACCGTACTGGGTCCTTGAAAGTACTTGCTCCGCCGCGTCCTGCATCCTGGCCCTGATCATAACCATGTATATTTTGTAAAAACTGTTTAACAATGAGATTGGTCTATAGTTAGCAGCAATATCGGTATCTCCCTTTTTGAAAATTGGGACAGCACGGGCAAGAAACAATGCCGACGGCGCTGTTTGGGATTCCCACCAAGTGTTAATAAGATCTAGTAAAACGCGCCTGTTGGCATTGTCAAGCCACTTAACCAGTTCCATGGTTATCCCATCAGGGCCTGGTTGTTTGTTGGGTTTCACCCTTTTAATTCCTGTACAAAGTTCCGGCATCGTGAAACATTCTTCTAAAGCATTGTTATCTTCAAGTATACTGCCAGTGTTCACCGTGTGTTCCACTGGATTAGTCCAATGTATTTTTTTCGAGATAGTCTGCTATTGTTTCAGCTCTTTGGTTCAAAGGGACATGCTTCCCATCTAAGTTTTTCATCTTAACATAGTTTGGAACAAATTTCTTCTTTAAACCCTTGACCGCTTTCCATAATCCCCTCTTATTGATGTCATTTGGGTTTTCGTTAAATTCTTCTATCAAACAACTTTGCTTGTCCCTTCGAGCCATGCGAGCAATTTCTCTATTAAGGTCTGCAATATCTTTCTTTGTCGCACCGATCCGCGTTTTTTCATTTTTTTTCCTGGATTTTTTCCCATGTTTCATGTTTGATAAATTTCTTTTTTTTCTCTCTCGGCTCCCTATCAAGTGCATCATCTGCTCCCTCTAAAATAGCTTTTGTAAAAATGTCTAAATCACATCGCTTGCCTTCTAGTAGGGAACGAACTTTATCGTTGTAGGCCTTCCATTTCATAGGGTCAGGTTTGGAGTAACGTTTAGTTTGGAAAGAGTTACCTTCCTTCCCACACATCGTTGTCACAGTAAGCCTACACTCTAACAAGAAATGGTCTGAGTCAAACCCAATGTCTTTTCTACTTTGGACATCTAACACAGCTCTTTTCCCTTCGTTGTTGATAAGCCAGTAATCAATTTGCCCGTATTTAATAGCATTGAATGGGGGACCATTAGTTTGCTCATTTTCCCCGATATGTATTTTCTCTTTATAAGTAATTAATTTATCGGGTGGTTTTGAATACTGGCTATTCAGAATGTTGAGACCATGAAGTTGGCAAAAACCAAGGAAAAGAGCTCTGTTTTCTTTTACCGCATCACTCATATTATTCAAATAATCATTCCCCCTTCCAATGATAAATGGTCCGCAAACATCTTTCTCATGTTCCCTCACGTAATCTATCTATCTAGCAATTTTATGGGGATTGTCGCCTATTTTTGGACAATCATGACAAATCATGACAAATCCAACATGTCTGGGCTGGGAAGACCGTCTGTCTCTAATACTCCACTGCTGAGCCTCCTCATCTGGCATCTCCAATGGCACGGAAAGCGTCCGGTGTTGGAGGGCCGCCAGACACGTAGTTCCCGCCAACGTGGTAGAATGGCATGATGGTGCTCATGTTTCTCAGCGAACCCCGGGCAGCCGCCATTGCACTGATCACCGAAGCGGGGGTCAAGAATGAGTAAGGCATCGCACCCTCAACCTAATTCTCCACAGCACGGCTCTCGGCAGGAGGTTGGTTAGCACATAGGTTCACGTCATGCTCAAGCCCCTTTATCCAGCTTCGCAAGTCGTTGGCATCCAGTGGATTGAACCAAGTTCACTCATCAACCAGGCGGTCCAGGCGGTGCGAAAATTGCCTTGGAGACAGCAAGGGTCCATCCAATCCGGTGGAAGGGAACCTGTTGTATACCAAAGTTGCCGGGTGTTGTAAGGATTTTGGCTGGGGAAATGCCCCCTTATATGCTCCTCATACCAAAACCCATTATTCACTGGATTAAATCTTCATCCATATGTTTGATGATGAAATCTGCCGTTTGCTTTTCTACTATATGGTTGATTCTCATGTAATTCCCAATTACAGTATGTCCCAATTACAGTATGTCCCAATTACAGTATGTCCCAATTACATACTAATTGATCCCCAATGCAATTCCCAATCATTATAGCCATACCCATATATATATATATATAGCATCCCAAAACAGAGAAGAAGTAGGAAATCTACACCATTTCGGGAACAACACCATCTGCGTCACATCCTGCACACCCCAGTCAGTCATAGATACAAAAGTTGGAACAAGTTGGAAACCTGGAAACCAGCGGAAACATGATCGGTTTCATATCCTGGAAATACGTGTCTATTGTTTTTAGGTGGTTACTGTCAGGGAAACGATCATGTTTTTCCAATCAAAAAAATATAGCAATTTTCTGCAACCGTTCCTACAAAGTGGTGCCCTCCCACTTATAAGTTAGTTTCATTAACTATAGTTATACTTCCCATAAACCCTAGTTAACCATGTTATGTCAACTTAACCATCTCAATCCCATCAAGTCACCATCAGATCCCATTTAACCACCATAGCAGGGTTTGGTAAATGTCCCATTTTGTTTTTTTGTAACATCACTTTCAAGTATCTGTTGGAGATTATATCCCCAATATTTGGGTGATGTTCGATGAGGACATTTACCAACCCCTGCATGACTTTGCTGGTTTTCTTGCACCCAACGGGGGCCTCACCTTGTATCTTTTTGGGGAACCCACAAAGCCCCACTTCATCGTCACCTTCAGCCGGCCACAAGCCACTGGCCACCAGCACTGGCACCTGAGCGTCCCCAGGGAATACACAAGGGCAACAGGAATGAATGGAAATTCTGTTCACCAAGACTTAAGGAGAATGGGCATAATATGTATACATAGTGTATATATATATACATACATGAAATTATATACATATATATATATACATACATATATATATATATATCAATATGTGTATATATATATATATATACACATATATGAATATGTGTATATACTATTTATATAACTATACATACAACTATTTGTATATTTTTTGGTATATATATATACACATACATGTATATATAACTATGTATAGATAACTATGTATAGATAACTATGTATATATAACTATGTATATATATACAACTATGTATATATAACTCTACAAATAACTATATATATATAACTATATCAACAACTATATATAACTATATATATGTAACTATGTATATATATAACTATGTATATATATATAGATATGTAACTATATATATATAGCTTATACAACTATGTATAATTGTATATATACACATGACTATATATGGATATATACATACATATATATATATATTATGTGTATCCATTTAAGAATGGAAAGCTAGCATATGGGCTTGTGTCCGCATGAGGGATGTATCCATTCTGTTCGTTTTCTTTTTCTAGTGGCAATCTCAATGATGAACATTACTATATACCATCAGATTTTCGGGTCTTTTTTCAAGACAAGAACATATCAAATGACAGGCATTTGGACTACAGATGCGTCAAACACCATGTGATGTTTTTTCACATGTAATAAATCAGCCAACTAGTCCCAGTGGTCCCGTGCCCGAGGCGATTCTTCTGGGCATTCCTCGCCCAATTTGGCTCGCTGGAAGCTTCTGGCGGCAACTCAAAGACTACCTGTCGCTGAGGCTACTGAGGCCCCTGAGGCTCATCATCCCCCGGTAAGATGGCATATTCTTCAATCCACCAATGCTGGGTCTTATCATCTTATCCATGTCGTTCAGGGAAAAGGAGTGCAGCCGGTGACTGGTATAGTATAAATCCATATAAATCCTAGCACTTATTGGCTGTTCAATGCAGGACTACCATTCTCTTAATCAACCAACCAGCGGGAAAAGAACCCCCATGGTTTTATCACCACTAAGTGCAGGTGAAAGCTCAACGAAGATCATTGGAAAGTATCTATAGTAATAATCAATACCAATAATACTTCAAAGACTGTTTGATAATGATAGTAGTCATCAATAATCAATAACAATAATAGAAATAATCAATATCAATAACGTATTAATAAAGACTGTTTGATAATGCTTCAATCGCTGGCGCGACTTCAATCACTGGGACCCGAATTTGTGGCCAAAATTGCGAAGCCAACATACCCCACACTGGCCATGTGGACAACTTCAAGATCTTCAATCGAGCCAAAAGTAGGTATACCACAATCTACCACCACATATTCATAGTTTCTTGATCACTATTTCAAATTATGAAGCCATGGGCGTCGGGGCGGAACCCGCTGTCACTCCTCGTTCTTCACAAAGTGCACGAAGCAAATCTGCATGGACTGCGGACGTGTCGCGGCGGCGCGGTCTTGTCTTTTCATGGTGGGGGTTATACTTGGACATGTAACTGCAAAGAAAAATAGACATGTAACATTTTAAATCCCGCTGAATATATACAATTTGTAAAATCTCGCTGAATAGACATATTTTTGGCTTAGTTGCAGTAACTTAAATCTAATAATCTACAGGAACATATAGTAAATCCCGTCTTGACACAAACCCAAATTCATCACTCATTGATGCTTAAATCCCACACTGTTCCGCCAGAAACAGCCAAGTGGCCAAGTCCAATGCCTGGGTTTTTATGCCACATAATTCCCATTATCTTCCCATGGTGAAACATCATATTGAACTGATTAAACCATATTAAAGCCCCATTTGGGCTGTGTAAATCGCCATTTTCCTTGCTTTCAACTTTCAATGGTTAATCGGTTAATCAATCGCTGGTCAGCTAGTCAATCGTCAATATCTGTGGTTTTTGTGAGCCCGATCATCGTCTTCTCGAGTCCCGGCGCAGTCATTGATGATCATCCTACCAGTCATTTGGAACGTAAAACACGTTTTCAAACCACAAACCAGATACAGTTGGTTGTATATATTCCATGATATTCCAACCAATGTGCCATAAGGTTACAGTTGGTTAATTTCCCATGATAAGATGGCTGTTGGATATATCCCTAACATACCACGGTGTTTGTTGCTTCAAGACCTATTTAAGTGTCGATTAAATCATTTACATATTGTTGGACTTGTATGGAATTGTTGGTTGTACATGTACCATTTACGTCCATTGACTAATCGTATTGTTGGCTATAAATCTTCCCCTTCAGATTCCCATAAGATCTGTGAACTATGGCGTTGATTCCCAGGAAGGACGCCTTGGCTTCGTGCCAGCGGCCAAGAGCACGACCTGGCGCACGGCCGCACCGGCTGGGCTTCAAGCATAGAAAATAAGGATTTCACCCACTTAACCAGGAAAAACAGGGAAAATCAGGGATTTCACACCAAAAAAAGGAATGAAGCAACAATTTGAGATATTTACATCATTTACCAACAATCATCATGATTTGACTAACATTGTTTGATAAAACATGGGGATTTCACCAACAGTTTAGGGATAAAAACAGGTGAATTTAACGAACAAAAACTATTGAATTAAACCAATAAATGGTTGGGATCTAATTTGATTTAACCAACAAGTACTGCGGATTTAAGTTGATGTTTAAGTTTACCAAACAAATCGTGGATATAGCCAACAAAAATATTGACTGCAGGCAACCAATAACAACCAGCTAACCAACAACGGTTGCACATTCCACTTTCATCATCAAAAACGAGTTTTGTCCAAACAACATTTGGATTTAGTCAACCAACAAACGCAACGACAGGGATGTAACCAACAACAATGCGTAAGGAAGCACAATCATCATCTTAAACAACAACAACAACAACTAGGCTTTGACCAATGTACATGACTTGATCAAACATATGTAAATCTGGAGATGAACAACATTAATGAGACCCAAACTCGAATGCTTTACGTTTAATCATAATAAAAAACAAACGATGAACTCTGATCGTCTTTCTACGGATGCACTGAGCTTGGTACCCTTCATCGCCGTCTCCCCCTCCGTGTTCACAGGCCTCGGTGACCCACAATGCGAGGTGGTATCAAAGACGGAATGCACAAAACGGAGCATCGAAAATACGTCAGAAAAGGAAACACATCAATCAATTGGCTAAATCCCCAACTGTTGTTGGTTCATGAATGGCCAAATTCTCCCTCAGTTGTGCATTGGCCAACCCGCATTTGCGACCGTTTTGGTATGGTCTTCCTGGAACTGCCAGGAAGCTACTGATGCTGACTGTCTCCATTTCATATACCCTCCATTCTTGTTGGCTACATATACATGTGTTTAAAATTGCTTAAATATATCGATATCTCTTGGTTCATCATTCGAACATTTAACGTTACCATCCCCCCAAATCATACAGACCCTGCCGAACAGGGGCTTGGAAGGATACCAAATCCTCCTGCCCAACCACCCACCAGGGTCAAGTGTCTCTGCACTGGGATCCCTCAGAGACTGCAGTGCATCACTTTGGCAGTACCTTGGCCATTTTTTCGGTGCCCGAATTTGTGTCATCAAAAACGGCTGGCTGGGTAATCCCCTATAAAAAACAAAAAATCATGAGAAAAAACCTGGGAAAATATGAGAAAACCCTATTATTTATGAAAATCATCTATATAGGTGGAGGTTTTAATGGGAATCTCATCTATAAATGGGCCATTGTCCATTGCCATGTTTGATTGCCCAGAGTCTTATATACACCCGTGTTCATGAGTCTCAGCCTATCTTTGCTTGCCAAAGGGTACCAAAGGGCAGTGGGAAGTGACTTACCTACTTACGCAAATCTCGTGAATCTTCTATGATCTTTGTCTACCACTCAATATGATCTTCACAGTACCACATATTTATCTATTACAATCTACACACATATATGATCATATATGTTCTATATCATGCGGTATAGTTAAGATCATCTAAGTATATCTAAGTATATTATTCCAGATTTGTTCACCGGACATTTACATACATTTACTGGTTGGTGGTATCCCTACCCCTCTGAAGACTATGAGTTCGTCAGTTGGGATGATGACACTCCCAACTGAATGGAAAGTCATAAAAATCATGTTCCAAACCGCCAATCAGATTTAATTCGTTAATCATTAATATGGCTATTAACACAGATTGTTCATTAAATCCAACATTTCCTTTCTGTGTTATGATCATCTAAGTATATCTAAGTCATCTAAGTATCTTATTCCAGATTTTTCACCAAACATTTACCATCTGGTTAACCATCATTTACCAGGTTTCCTTTCTTTGCTTCACCGCTTCAGCAGGTCCGTTCCAAGAAAAAACCGGGCCGCTCCAGGACGTGACTGCTCTCCTTGAGAATGTCCACGTGGCGTCCCTGGACCCGCCAGGGCCATCGCCTCCGACACCGTCCCCAATTTGGGATGATGAAAAATGGGGATGTTTCATGGGATGAAAATGTAGTTACTATGGTCAATCATATTGATATAAATAAATAAATAAATCTATATATAATATAATATAATATACATATATATTATATAATATATATATATAATATATATAGATAATATATATATATAATATATATATATAATATATATATAATATATATATAATATATATATGATTATATATGTATGTAGATATATTGATTCATACGGGTGAATAATGGTGAAGGATGATTTAATATGATTTAATGATATTTAATGATACAATTACACCACCGTAGACCCCGAGACAAATGAAGGAATTCAAAGAGCCGGACACCAGCAGTGTCTCGAGGGCGGACACCTCTTAAGAAACAATTTAGGACTCCTAACAGCAAACTGTTTCGGGAAAAGGGATGAACAAAAATAGTGATATAATGTTTATAATGGTGACCAATAGATATTAATAATGGTTAATCATGGTGAATAGTGTTATGAAATGATATGGAGATGTCCGAAAAGATTTAGGGGGTACCCCAAATCATCCAAGTCATGGATGACCTTGGTATAGAAACCCATGGTGACTTTGGGATGTTCTGCATTTTAAGAACCCCCCATATTACAAAATGATTTCTGAATGTGGGGAAATGGTGAGTTCCTCCAACGCAAAAGACGATTCAAAGTGAAGCTGGAATTTAGGCTTCGCCATCTACTCACCTGGCCAGGATGAACATGTATACAGTAAATCTATGGAAATAAGAAACGCTGGAGACAGCCATGTAACCAAGTCTTTCTCTTGTTTACCAGGGTTTCAGATCGCAACACAACGAGAACCACTTGTCATAAGCATATCTGAAAGATGGAACAACACCCAAAGCTTTGAACTCTTGGAATAGAACAGGTTTCAGCCGACATGACAAAGCACACATGCAAAAAGCATCAAAAACATGAAACACCTACATGTAGGCAAGTACACTGCTACATCCACACAGTCACATTTTCTATCTTTGTGTTCGTTTCAGACCAAAACTTTCCCCATGCCATCCTTGACCGTTAAACACAGCCCTTGGTGCCCCCACACTGCCAACCATGCGTTGCTGTGTGGAGTCAAGCGTGCTAAGAGCTTTTCTTGCTCGGGCCTGAGCAGCAGCCACCCCGAAATCGTCGCCGAAACGGTATTCAAAGCTGGTTGGTTGGGAAATCCAGTAGAAATACTATGTGATCTTCTATCAAACACATCATGTTCACCATCAAAACGTCAGTTGTGAATTATTTTGTGGACACATTTCTGGACCAAGCCATGTCTAATCCTCCCAGCGGTCACCTGAAACAATGTCCAACGATGACGTCAGGCTAGGAAACTTGATTGATTGGATGTCGATGATAAGTAAATCACACAGTAAGGACCATATCATCTCGTCATCTCAGGTCAATATTCCTAGCCAAATCATGTTGGAAAATGTAGCAGTTAACAGTTAACCTCGATGATTGAAAAAACATGAATATTCCTTACATCAAGCCGATTATTAATCCGGATATTCCTAACATCATATTCCTAAGATGAATATTCCTAACATGGATATTGATCTCACCACCTTTTGACTTACATTTCTCCAAACCGGACGGCCGTGGACGGGGAACCGGAGCAAATCGGCCATGACCATATCACCAGCTCAATGAATTTCAGGACCCAAAAATGGAGCTATTGTGGCATATGCTATGTTTTGGCGGTATATCCCCTTACACCTTACATAGATCTTACATATGATACCCCCGATTTAGTCACCAATGGTCATTGACCAGTTCCAAAGCTAAATCATCGTTTAAAACACCTACAAGTAGTTCTTTGCTAAACATTACCGTGGTAAATCATCAATGGCCCCTTTTTTCATGTGTTGAATTACCAAAGGGTACATTGGTACATCGTTGAAAGCCCCAAATAAGATTTGGTTTCAGAGAAAAAGGAAAGTACCAAGATCAGACGAGAAAGATCTTCAAACAAGACATTTTGAAGACATCATCGTGTTTTTTGTTTCCCCCATGTAGGGTTAATAATCACATCCCAATTGGGATGCACCACCAATTGCAGATGACCCGCTTATCACACTCTTAACTCTTGTATAATCCCATCTATTCCAGTGACCCAATGATCCATTTATGCAGGTATATCAGGCTGGTTATGGCTGGGTAAATTACAAAAATCACCGACTCGAAAAGGTCGGCCATTCTGGGACCCGGATAGTTAATCTTACCAACAATCATTTCTAAACACATCACAGTGAGGTACTTATAGTCTATGTCAGATCACAGGAAGCAGCCTTTCAGTCACAAGTTGATTTATCATCGTCTAACTATAGACATAGCCAACATAAACGCTAGCTAGTTTAACTACTTGCAAACCAACTTGGCTAAGTAGTGATGGGCCACCAAATCCATTGTTCACGTTGGTTATAACAATTCCCCATAAACATCCATAAACCACGTAGAATAACCCCTATAAAAACCCATCGACAGCTTGGTGGCTTGAGTATCCTGTACAGCACAGTAATATACAGTAATCATTTACTTTATACGTGTATATATATATATATTCCCATGCGACCTCCCTTAATCAATTATCTCACCATTTTTATGCGACGAATTCCTTTTTTTGTTGGTTGAATATGGTTGAATCATGTTAAGTCCCTATTCTTCTTGCACATCTTAACATTTTTCGTCCTTTAAATCATGTTAACTCACCATTTTTCTGTCAGATCTCTCCCGACTTTCCCCCGGACCCCCCCCGTCATTGGTGCCAGGCGTGGGCAGTTCCGCCACCGGCACGAGCTCCGGTGGCGTTGGAGGAGGCACACGCTCCACCACGAAGGGCCCGGACCTGGGGATATCAAAGTGGTGAAAATAACTCCAACTTAACTTATTAATACATTAACTTATGATATATATATATATATTTGTTTATCTAGCTATTTATTTATTTAACTAATTTAACAGTTTTGTTTTTTAAATATATATATATATGTATAGTATTATAAATTATTATATCATCATATATCTATATATGTATATAGTATTATAAATTATTATATCATCATATATCTATAATCTATTAATGGGGAACAATGTTTGTAAGCCACAATATCTTTAGACCCAATGGAAACAATGGAATGATGACCCCCATTTATAACAAAATAAACAAAAAACACAGGTTTCAAGGGCGTTAATTGTAACTACTACTTATATATATATATATATTACCACTGTTTGGTATAAGCCCAAGAAAATAGAGGGGGTCAATATTCTAAAGCCAGGTAGGGTTCTACAGTTTGTTCTCTGTACCGACTCTTTACCTAAAAGTTCTCTGGTAGTAGTTAGTGGTTATAGTCGGTCTATCTATTGGCTTATAGAATTATAGACCATATACGGATACTTGATGGTTGTAGTTAGCCAACTTGGCCAAAGTTGGTTTTAACAACTCCCATGAATACTATAGATATGGAGGTTTCCTGAAATGGGGGTACCTCTAAATCATCAATTTTTATAGGATTTTCTATTGGGAATCCCACATATATGAACCCCCTCGTATATATATATATATACATATATATATATATACATATATATATATATGTACTAAACACCCAAATTAGCTAACCAAAACAAAAAGGCACCACCATGGAACTGGGGCACCACCTTGTAGAATGAGCTAGCGAACTGGAACATCACCATCTTTTACTTCGGTAAATCATCGTAAATCATCATCATTCATCTATTTGTTCTAGTATGTTTTAGTGATAGTTTCCCTGGCTCTGTGAAATATCAAAGACTGTAGCCGTTATGACTTGGGACTTTGGCCCCCTTCGTATGGGTGCTTAGGTGCTCAAATACATTTCATATGCAGGGAAATTGCTCAAAAATCTCATGTTTTCTGCGCCGATGCTTTGCCTGCCCCCTTTGGCCCTGAGGCTCCCAACTTCATTAATGGCGTCCACCTGAGCTGGGGGAGCCAATTTCACAAATTGAGCATGGACCCTTCAGGAGATCACAGCTTGCAATCTGAAGGCACTGGTAGAATCGATCGATTTCCAGCAGTGCAGATTCGAGACTTCTGAGCAAGTTTGGAGTAGAGTGAGTAGAGGCAATGGGTCCTGGTAGAATCAGCTTTCTCCCAAAATAGTTTTTTCGACACAATATTATCCACATCGCACATCGGTAGGCTTGGAACACCGAGCTTTCACAACTCACCTGGTCCCAATAGCACTCTCTGTACAGGCCAAGTCCTTGCAGCCCAGTCGCCAATGTACAGATGTGTTGGTTTCGAAGCGCCCTTCCACTGTACCTGGGGACATTTCACCATGCCAGAAATACATGGTGAGAAACCCAACAGAGTTGTATGCCCAAACTTCCGGACAGACTTGGGATTAGTCTGTCCAAACTTCCAAGAAACATTCTGTAATTAGTGCTACCTGAAAATGGTTCACAATAGCGGATCCCCAGTCACTCAAAAGCTTGGAACATATAATCCAAGGCCATACTTTGTCTGCCACACTGGCGAGTGGTAACTGTATTTATTTCAGTCAAATAGAGGTTGCCAGAATCTTTGAACACTTTCCACCCACAATTTTTATTCGGATGCTTAATAGGCAAACAAACATGTGTTTCCCACATTTGCAATGCAGGGGGCTGACTACAAGGGACAAGTGAGGCCGGTAAGCTAGTAACAGGGACGTGGACCATGCACCATCTATCCTCAGAAAATCCAACAGAATAACCGGTGTTGCCGAACTGAATAACAAACCATATATATATATATACATATATATTTATAATCATATATAATGCTTCTAAATCCTTCAACTTCTGGAACGTAAAACAAGAAGTAAACAAATCATTCATGCACTTCATGATTGGCTGAATATCGTTTAAGCATCCTTTACCCATCTTTACCCCATAGATTGTTCATGCAAGCGTTAGGGGGGATCTCGGCCCAGGGCACAACGATAAGTCTTGTCCGGTGGCAACGTCGGGAGGTGCCACGTGAGACGCGTGACCTGCACAAAACAACCAAACGCAGCATGGTGGCTTGACCCCCCGGCTGATTTTGCAGTATCTTCTGCGGGTGTGAATATATATATATAGAGATATAATTATTGATGATTATTGATGTAATTATACTGTATTATCTGGGTGCACATGTATTTGTGCATGCACTCTAGATATCTCTAGATGTGGTATGCAAATAAAAAGGTGGATAGACAGGCTAAAAAAAAGAGAGAGAGATAGGTAGGCAGGCAGGCAGCTAGGTAGGTAGGTAGGGTAGGGTAAGGTAAGGTACGAAAAAAAGAAAGAAAGATAGATAGGTAGGTACCACAAACAAGGCACAAGTTGTTCGTCTCCCTTCAAAGCAAATGACAATCACTTCCAAATTTGCCGTGAGGCCATGAAAATCCCAGTGGACTCGGCTCCGCCAACTTGTGTCCAGTTACAAACCATGCATCACTGATCTGAGGTACAATATGGTGCTTCAGTAGACATATGACAAGTTTCTATGAAAAGTATAGATACCTATTTCAATAGGTTCGGTACTATCTATTTTTGAAATAGATATAAACTATATCAATCTATATATCAAGCAGTATCAATCTATGATTAGGAGTAATTGAAATCCAACCGGCGGATTCGCCCATGACTCAGGGGTGAACCATCCCAGCAGATGAGACCAAATGGCTGTTACGGATTGCATGTGCATTGTGCATGATATCACTGATTCCCCCACCAGGATTGAGATGCTGATAAATGTTTCTATGTATGTCGTCTATATATATATGTATAAACACACACACGTATATATATATGTGTATATATATATATATATTAATGTATAAATAAACATATATATATATATGTATAAATAAACATATATATATATATGTATGTATGTATATATATATATATATATGTATATATATATATATATATAAATGCATATATTATATATATGTAAATGTAAATGTATATATATATATATACATATTCTTATACACATATCTTCTGACTGAATGCCTTGACGTATACATCTCAATGTATATACATATGAATATCATATGAATGATCGTTTAAACATATAGTCTATTTTCTATTCCCAGTGCAACAACAGTCATGCAACCCAGCTGAAGTCATCAAGAGACCGTCGGCTCGTCATAGTCCACTGGATCGGGGTAGGCGCTTGGCGGCCTCAAGAAAGTTCGCCGGCTGCGCCGTTTTTCATCTGGGTACTTGATGATAAATTGCTTGGATCCATATCTATGTCTATAATATGTTCATATATGTTCGTATATATATATATATACTGCAAATGGATCTAAATAAGGTCTAGCCCAAAATCGTTTTTTATACGGAAAAGAAGGATTGATAACCAGTGGATTTGCTCACTTGGGGGATCAAACCATCGACCCAGCAAATGTAGGCTAGTGCCACATACATTCCCAATATTCTAAAGTCAAATCAAAACCATCCAAGCCCATATTAAAACCAGGAGACAGTTATTTGAAATTGGCTTCCTAGAGGGATATTGATGTCAGAACACTCATAGGCTTAATAAAGATTGATAGGAGACGCTTACCCAAAATGCGATGATCCTAGTGTGGACTGGCAATGTGGCTGTGGGCGACAACCTGAAACTACATGATTCACCGACACAACATCACCTCAAACAACTATATGAGGGTTTAAGCCACACAACCTCTGACAGTTTTCGATTTTCAGGATTCAAGCAGTCAAATGAAGAAACCTGTAAGGATAATATAAGGGAAATGCATGGACATGAGTCTACAAGAATCTGGATCAGCTACTGAGGCCCAAAAAATAGCATTATGCATAACAATGTATACATATATAGTTTATAATTTATAGTGTAGTATACATATACCTATATAGGTTTTCAAAAGATCAAGAATTTTTGGTCGACCCCTGGTGTTCTACTTTTGCTGGACTCTAATTCCAAAAGTAGACGTTTTGGTCGATATCTCCAAAAACCGATCGTGAACTTTATGCCCTCCACTGCAACCTTGAATTTTCTGTTACCCCCCGACCCCCTGAATTGATTATAGATTTCGCTCATGGAAAAAGCCTGGTTTCAAATGGTCTCCCACAAAATATGTTCAAACTTGCAATCATGACCATGCTTCTTCCAAAAACATGATTCTGTGAGAACTCTGCAAAAAAGTAGCAGAAGGCCTAAATTTTCCATGTTTTTTGCATATTGCCTAAAACATTGAAAAAGCAAAGTGACTCAGTTTTTTGGGATTTGTAAGCGTTTGATGGTTTTTGTATGCGTTTGATTCTGGTTTTTGTAGTCGTTTTGAAGCTTTTTGCGGGAGTTTTGAAGGTGTTTGTAGGCGCGAACTTTCGCATACAACGTGCACATCGCACAAAAATGAACATAACCTAAGAAATGGTGAGCCAAAGGATCTGTTAGTGGCATTTCAAACCCGATTGACCAGCTAACATGGCTGGTCAGAGTTTAGCGTTTCGATTTTATTCGCTTGTGGTGGATAGAGGGTAGGTGGTGGTTGACACTGTCGATTTGCGGGCCACTTGTCATTGCATCATTTAGTTTTATCAATGGCTCACATTAGGGAATTCAACTGAAATAGGATTGGATGAGGTTGAATGTGTAACATGGTAATGCAGCATGAAATGAAACCAGGAAAGTCATAGGTAAATTGCAAAAGTAGGCGCTTTGGTCAAGAACTACTTTTTCTGACCGATATCTCAAAAAGAAGTCAACAACCCTAGTCTCCCAGGAAAAAGTGCTACGAACGAAGACCTATATATTATCTAATATATATATATATACAAATTAAATACATACATATCAGGAGAAATACGTTAGTTAATATGATTACACATGACAAATAATGAAATTTACATTTGAGATCAGCACCTCAGGCATCAATTGAAGTTTGGAGGGGGGTGTACCATGTCATCACCAATTAGGGCACTTAAAAGACCAATCATAACCATGGCAAAATCAAAAATTGTTTGGCACATATTCACGTCGGAAATCCCAACTCAAAGCTTTTCTCATTTGAACATATGTCAAGAACATTTTCCCGCCTTCAGAGGACTGGACATCTGATTGGTCGTGTCAACCCCACTGAACAAAACACACTTGCCATTGGGACTCGTCAGTGAGCCCAACAAATATATTATACCAACCACACGTGTTCAACAACCCCTCACAAAGCTCTGGATGAGAGATTGCAAATTAAGCTTCGGGCACGTCATACTGCCTGTAGAGCAAGTCCTTATGCGGTGCGTCTGCCTGTTGACGGCTGGTAATGGCTTTCGATACCCAAACTCAAAAACAAATTGCGGAAACCATCAGGTCTCTTGAAGAATACTGTTATCAAACTTTCTGGGCTCCAACTTCAAACACCTGTTTATCCGATTTACTTCCCTTGGCAAAGCCAGGGGTCTATTCACTCTGCGGGGCCGATATACTGCAACAAACATGGTGGGCAAGTCCCATATAGTCCCGTATCATCAGGTGGGTGATTGGTATTGTTGGTTTAGCCATGATTTGGTGTTATCAAATTAGTTCCTTCTTTCAAGTCGGATCCAGCTTTCCAGCTGAACTTCCACCTGTGAGTACTTCTGGGCTGAGACTGAAGGACTCTCCCATAATATGCGACTGGATGTGGATGTTGGACGTCGCACACTTTATCCCAGCATATCCCAACCGTGTCTTGGAACAATGGATGCAGCATGATGATACAACCCCCTTCGAATCGACACGTCACAAATTCATCTTTTAGATTCCGATCTTCTGGCTCTATATATGCTTTACTGTACAAAGAAACGGATAGGTTACCACATCTCCATTGTGTTTCCATGATATGTCCAACTGGCCCCAACTAGCCACCACAAAAAACTGCAGCTACAACGAAATTCCATCCAAACACAGTGTTTGCTTTTGTCGCGAACAAACAGGTAGATGCCCACGATTTCTCAGATGCCTACTGCGCAAAGCTGTGCCAATGATTGCAAGATACAGTAAAGGAAAGTTGGCATGGCAAAAACACAGTTTGAACCAGTTCAGGTATAAATACTCAGTACATCATTCCCAGGTCCTGTACCTGTGACCAAAGTGTCCAATGATCAATACATAATTGTTAAAACCCTATTTCCTGAAGACATCACTCCTGTATCCTGTCTGTCAGACCTCCACTCACTTATCATAAAACAGGTCAGTACACACTGGCAACTTTGTCGCAGTAGGCTGGAACCTCCCCCTCATTGGGTGGGATGATTCTTTGGCATCCATCGGACTGTCCCAGCATATTGCAACTTCGGCCGCACCGTCTTTGGGTGCCATCAAAATGCTGGTGCCCAAATGCAAAATATTGTATTTTTTCCAGTGTGTCAATGTTCACTCATTATTGTTCCAGGTCCAGACGATTCCTTGTGACCTTGTTTGTGTTTTCTGCTAAGTGGCCTTTAGAAAGAGGTCAATTAAGGAAAACGTAGAAAGAGGTCACTTAAGGAAACGAACCAAACAGTGGCCTACCAGTGACACGCAAGTGACACGCAGGTGACACGCAGACAGCCAATCCTTAAGTGACCTTTTCAAGGCTTAAGTGACCTTTTCAGGGTCCTAAGTGACCTCTTTCATCCCACCTCGAAACCCCAGTGACACGCAAGTGACACGCAGTGACACGCAGAAATCATGAGATCAGCCAGGCAAAGAGGTCACTTAAGGATTCATGAAACGAGGTCACTTATGCATGATTGATCTTGTAAGTGACCGTTTGGCACTTTGGGTCTAAGTGGCTTCCATTAGAGGGCAGAAGTAACTGCCTGGGTTTCATTGTTTCACCGGATTGACCCATTTGGATCAGTTAAAACGAAATCTCAAATCAATTTTTCCGCCTTCTCCGCCTTACCCTTCTCGCTCTCCTCAGCACTCTCCGCCTCTTTTTTGCCATGGCCGTGACCCTGATGGCTGTGGCCCGTATGGCCGGCGTCCTTGGTCGGGCTGAGACAAAGGTCCAGCGACAGGTCGAATAAGGAAGCGAAGAAGCTGCAGAGCCTGTCAGGGTCGAAGATAGCATGTCTTTTCCCGAATGCGTAGCAAGGGTTCCCGTTTCACTCTGGCATGGAAGGTGTGTTCGCTCGACGTTGCGTTTACGTCCGCAACCGTCCGCAACCGTTCGCGTGAGGGCCGTATGGCCGTCCCTATGGCGAGTTCTGCAGCAGCGGTCACTTTTGGAGGTTTCAGACGTCACGTAGCTTCGTTTCGCGTGGCAGGCAAGGCACTTTGTGACATTACAACATGTTTCATAACGTGTCAAAAGCCGAAAGTCGTTTTGTGTGGCAAGCGCGACATTTTCAGAAGATGCGTTCCAGCTTTCGTGGCAGCTGCAGCACTTTGGCGACCTCCATCCTCATTTCGCTTGGCGGGCGCAGCGCTTTAGACGTGTCATGTTGCGTGTCTTTTTGCGAATCGCATTGTCAGAGCTGCGTCAAGTGGGGACAGGGTTCAAATTGCGTGGCGGGCGTGGCATTTTTTGAGATGTGCTGAAATTGACGGATGCCTCGCACGAAACATCGATTTTGAGGTAGCAAATTTGGAGGTTCATAAGAAAACTCGTAGGAAAACGTTGAGTTTGAAGCTTCAGTGTGAAAATTGGAGGAAGTGTCTCGCACGAAATGCTGATTCTGATGATCCAACGTGTCTCGTCTCGAGTCTCTGGTTTTCCTCTGGCCTCGCCGTGTCTATGGGGGAAGTTGCAAAACCTTTCCGTGTCTATGGGGGAAGTTACAAAGCAAGTTGTAATGCGGTTTTGCGTGGCAGGCGTGGCACTTCGTGACATTCTCACGTGTCTGCAAACGTGTCGAAAGTCGTTTTGTGTGACATGCGCAATACTTTTACAAGGGTTTCAGCAGATGAGTTGCATTTTTCGCCGCAGATGCAGCATTTTGGAGACCTCCATCATCATTTTGCGTAGCGCAGCACTTCTGACATGTCGTGCTGCATGTTATTTGGGAATCGCCTTGTCAGGGCTGCGTCAAGTGGTGACACTCCACACTCAACACTTTACACTTTTCGTTTACATGCCACACTCCACACTCAACACTTTACACTCCACACTCTACACTCCACACTTCACACTTTACACTCCACACTCCGCACTTTACACTCCACACTCAACACTTTACACTCCACACTCTACACTCCACACTTCGCACTTTACACTCCACACTTCACACATTACACTTTACACTTTAAACTCCACACTCTACACTCCACACTCCACACTTTAGACTCTACACTCCACACTCAACACTTTACACTCCACACTCTGCACTCCACACTTTACACTCCACACTTTACACTTTACACTCCACACTCTACACTCTATACTCCACACTCTACACTCTATACTCCACACTCCACACTCTACACTCCACACTCCACGCTTTACACTTCACACTCTTCCGCATTCTGCAGTCTACAGTTCGCTGGTACGGTAACAGGGGAAGCATGTACAAGATTGTTCAAACAACTTGTTTCACAAAAGTGTTCGACGTGACTGCATTCGGCTTCGTGGGCTGTATCCTGGTTATATTTCATGGAAATATCCATTTGGAGGTTTCCATAGTCAAGGGGGTAACCCCAAATGGAAGGTTTACAATGGAAAATCCATCTATAAATGGATGATTTGCGGGCATCCTCAATTTTAGGAAATCCCCATATGTCTGTCTGTCTGCCTGCCTGCCTGGCTGCTTGTGTATTCTGTCGAGATATGTCAACATACAACATATAATGTTAGACACGTTTATCTTTTATGTATTTATGCATCTGTGCCTATATACATGCATATGTATACACAGCAAGATACATCAATCTGTACTTTCGATGGTGTAGCAGATCAAGATCAGTGAAACACTTGGTGCTTTTCTACGCCATCTCATCTTAAGGCGCCTATAAAACATGTTAGAACCATGCCCATGTGGCCCCACCTGTACTTGTACTCAGCCAGCTTCGACAAGTGGTTGGCACAATGGTCAACGTTTTTGCAGACTTTGTCCAGCAACCAGACATCTGAGCCATGGAGTGACATGGAAACCTCAGAAATATGATACCCTCTGGTAAACGTTTACATAACTATGGAAAATCGTCATTTATTATGGGTAAATTGGGATTTCATCAACTATTTTTATGGCCAGTTTCAATAGCAAACTGTTAGGTTACCAGAGGTTACATGGCTTTGGATCAATGCCCCATACCTTGACCGATTCATGGAGTCCAATCAATCCGGTGCATGGAGCAATTGTGGATGACCCATGGTGCAATATTCCACAAAAAAAAAACATCCAATACATTTATATAATGATCCAATATCCACTATGATACTGGAAATGATATGGACATGTAATTGGAATATTGGAAATATCATTTCCATATCATTTCCACAAAAAAAACATCCAATATGGACTGATATTATATATCCATATCAACCAATTGGATGATATGACCTATTCATCCAATATACATCCAATATCCAACATCATCCAATATCATCCAAGTACATCTCCAGAGATATGGGCCATTCATTCTCGAAAAAATGCCGACAAGCCGGGTCTTTTTAAGCATCCCGATGGTGGATTGCATCACTGTATGGTGCCGGATTGTATGGCATTCAAGAAACAACAAGCCGTGGCTTTGTCTGAAAATAGGGGTAGCCACAAATCCAAACGGCGACCCCATGTGTTCCCATCGAAATGACCAGCCGACTAAGCTTCTCCGATGTTTTCGCCGGGTCACTGGACAGGTTGTACTTCTCTGGATACCTGCTATGTTCCGATGACGGACTCTTTTCACCGCCCCTTTTTTGAACTTGCGAACACTTTTGTTCTTGTGTCGTCATGCATTTTTGCTTGATCCATTTTGTAGCTAATTGAATCGGTTATTGAAATCATTCAAGAGATATGAAACACCAACCAGCTTTTGTTTGGATCATAGGGAGGAGCGGGAACTGCAAATGCTGAACAGTTTTCTACGGATTTCCACCAACGCTTCCTCACCGCATCCTCACAGTTCCCAACGCTTCCGAACCCAACAGGCCCAACAGCAGTGTCGCTACTCAGAGGGCCGGAAAAGCTGTGCCTGGTCATTGTAGGGATTCCCTTAATCTTGGGTGCCTGCAACTTGTATGATCCCATTCATTTGATTATACAATATGCTAGTACCCAATATATGGTAATATAGGATTATATTCTAGTATCCTATATTCGGTCTAATCTCATTTGATTTCATTTCCATATATATAATGTAAGCCTACTTCCTCTATATAATCCCATAAATATCCAATAATATCCAATATAAATCCACAATATAACATAAATATCATAATTATAAACATTGGTAGTATCATCAACCAACTTTTATGTTTTTTCCAAGGCACTTTTCTAAGATTTGCTTCAGCTTCTCCGCCTCGCGTTTCGGCACCGTGGTGTCCGGGATGTTCTGCACCATGTAGACCGGCCTGGCGTCGACTCGTCGACCAAAGTTCGGATGTGATGATGGCAATAATAGCGACAAACATACGTTTGTTTGGGCTGAGTAGTGTATAGTAAACAGATGCTCTATTTGTATCCATAATCAAACTATATTAATCCATATTAATCTACCATATAGTAATATAGTAATACAAGTGTATCTATTTGTAGAGCGAAACACCATCTAAATGTACTCATCCAAGGTTTGGTCAGATATTTTCGGAACATCGCCTGGAAGTTTCACAAGTGCCTCAATCCCCTCGGGCTTGGAACATTCACAAAACAGAGTAAATTTGAAAATAAGAGAAGATTGAAGTCGGCCACTTTGAGGCTGCTTTCCCTAATTCAACAATCCTTTGCATTCGTTGTGAAGTGCCTTATTCTTGTGAAATCATTGTGTTTTTGGGGTTGCAATTTTGCCGCCCCAACTTGCTGCTTAAATTTAATGTCCAAATTTTCATCAGGTTTCAATTTATAATTTCCTCATGTTTCATGGTGATTTTCCCATTTTTAGATGGGCAATTTCCAAGTCTTGCATATGCTGAGTTTTCGACATTTTTCCTGACTCAGTACATTGCCATAAACTGCCACTTTGCTGGCATAATCTTCCATTTTTCCTCATTATTTTCACATTTTTGATGGTGAAAGGAGGCATCCTATGTCCATCCATGTCCCATTTCGCCAGCGAAATAGGCCTCTTGGTGTCGGGTCCCAACGGCAGTGTTGTGGCTGGCAGGTGCTTCTCCATATCGACCCCCGCGGCCTTGGTGAAGATTTTGCTTGGACCATCAGGATTCTACAGGATTATATTATCCACCCTAACTGGTTGGTGGTTTCAACCCCTGTGAAAAAAATATCAGTTCGTCAGTTGGGATGATTCTTCCCAATATATGGAAAAATGTTCCAAACCACCAAGCAGCTAACATTGATTTTTTGTTGGTATCAACTCTAACATCAATTTGTTGTTGAAGTATACTATCAACCACAATTCACGTGCAATGTGGATATGATATATTGGGCACAAAACACCGAAGACGATGATGACGACGACGACATGAGATGGATCAAAAACCTAGTGGAAATACACAAAAAAATACATTTGTTGGTTCTCATGGGTATTTCCAGTTCATGAATTATGATAGTCCCCGTTAGATAAAGGGCAGTATATACCCGAGCCATCAGCCAAATGATACCCACAAACCAGATTTGCTGGAACACTATGATAGGTGCTTGGTATGGATATCTAGGTGAATTATCATATTTCGAATTATCATATTTCTATAAATTTCTATATATATTTGTATGTGTTTTTTTTGCTGGAGTGATTCTCCATACCAACATACACCAACAATTATTTACGGTGAGGTCGTTCTGTTGTCGCTATCATGTGCCCGGACAAGCATATGATAACATGACTCAGCTAGGGATCATCGGAACCCAAGGATGGCAAGTAGAAGCATGCACACAGCATCAAGCGAGTGAACCTGAAACCTGGGAATCGTACCCTTGAAGATAAATGTCCAATCGGACACACTTGGAAACTGCACTGCGTATTTTTACTGCATTTGCAGGAATCATGTGGAGAAAAATCAATAACTACCGCGGAATATGTCCACCAGCCATCAACAATCCAGCGTTGAGGGGCACAGGAGATGTAAGGTTCTCTCCGAATTCTGGGCAACATCCACTGAAACCCAAAAAAAGATGGTAAATGAAATGGTGTGATGTTTCCCCAAGAACACATGCATCACAGGCTGGTGTGAGGACATCACAGGCTGCTAGCTGGCCATTCTGATTCTAAGATTTTCATGCCCATGAAACGGGAAAATCTGCGTCCACGTTGTGGCCAATTTTGCTTCATTCTTGGTGGTCATGTTGTTTGCCCTTTAACCAGTGGTGTGGTGGCTACATGTAGCTATATCATCATCCTCGGGATTTGGACTTCAGGAACATCTCGACATAAGAATGAATCTCACGTTTGTGTGACAGTGCACATATATATATATATAATGACAACGGAATATGGTAATATAGTAATATTATTATATATTTATAAAATAGATGATAATATAGTAAGGTGTATATATATATATTTATTTAATGTATGATGATAGATGCTCATTCTTGGCTTCAGATTCACCTACGGCCTTCTTCGCGCCAGGCAGCACGACCATTGTGGAGGATGATGGCCCATGCAGGTTCCAACACCAGGGGTGTGAGAAAATCAATGCCATAGCCTTTCAAAAACCTGACGAGGGCAAGTGAGGGTATGGTTTTTGTATGGTTTATGGAATAGAGATACTGACCTAGCTTTCATGTGGTTTATGAATCACCTTATGGATTTGTCTGAACATAATTTAAGGTACCCCGAAATTCTCGGGCTAGTCCTCATGTTCCCTAGTGAAATGGCTATAGATTGGGCTTTTTAGACAGGCCCACAGTTAAACGCAACGAAACCATGGCATGGAGGAACGTCAAACATAGGAACTGCGCTTTGTCCCACAGGTTCCCTGCCTGTCTTTGGGTTGGGGGCAACAAACAGTGGATGATACAATCTTCTAAATTGGATATGAGAAGCGTCTAGCCAATTATCATTGATGCTTGTCATCGCCAGCTTTAAGGCTGTGCTGCCAACTTGCTGCCAACTGCTTGTTCTTAGCAAACAACTTCTTCATTGCCCTATCTATCATTGTTCATCCTGTTCCACTTTGTTGTTGCATTTCTTGCTCGAATCTCAACCTGTTTGTGACCATATTTCTATATTTCTACAAATGTGGATTCTATCCCCATTACATTCTCTTCTTGTGGGTCAATTCCCTTCATTGATAGTAGAAGAAGCCCATGATCCCTGGTTCTTTCTCTGATTGTTCCCTAGTTACCAGCCTCACGGGTTTGGGGAGTGTTACCCCAATCCTAAGCCAGCAGAATTTATCCATTTGGAGGTTTCCATAGTCATGGGGGTAACCCCAAATGAAAGGTTTACAATGGAACATCTATCTATAAAGGGATGCTTTGGGAGTACCCCCATTTCAGGAAACCTCCATTTGTATATGCGGATTTTATGAAATTGTATTGACAATTTCCATCTCATCCACCAGAACTGGACCAAGGAGCAACTCAAGGCCATATCCATAAACCGTCTTGGGTTCAGATGGGGCACTGTCCACCCAGACCCCTGGGATCTCGCCCTCCAAGCCTCGCAACACAGACGTTTTTGAAGGATACTGAGGGATACTGAGGGGATAAGAAGATGATCTTAAGATGGATATCATGATGCCTTACTCGGCATAGTCCATACCCCCCACTTCCATAAGATGTTGAAATCGCTGGATCCGGCGCCATGGTCTTGGCTGGATATGGTATATAGTATATCCCTAGTTATGGCTAGACCCCCAATGAAACGACTCTTAACCTAACCAGTCGCTTTAGGCAGAAACCACCATGTCCGGAGGACTCTCGAGTTGAACCCATGGGTGCAACACATAATGAGGGTATAAATGGGCATATGCTAGCATATCCAAGTGGATGACCAAACATCTATATATGCAGGCGGATTATCAAACATTCAATCTGATAGATATGAGAGAAAAAACATCGTCTTGGAAGGAACAAATGCAAACACATCGTACTCATCCATATCTGGTTGATGTATTAAATCTGCCGTCAGTTAGGCAACAAAATTACAAATGGGAGTGGCAGTGGCAAATAAACAGCCAGCAACCAGTTAACCTAAGATGTATATATAGTATAGAGTGTAAAGATCATACACAGTTTCCAGTTCTCCAAACCCAAAGAGGAAATATCGGCAACAAGACCGGTAGCGACCACCATGTCCATCCATGTCCCCTTTCCGCGCCTAGAGCGTTCAGAGTGTTGAAACCACCCTTGGAGAATCCCAAGATGCCCACTTTGGAAGCATCCATGGAACCTGAAAGAACTCATTCTCGGATCCCGATGATCACAAGGAACGATGTTATCGACTCGACACTTCAGAAAATTTGATGCAAAACACCGATGGGTTTTTCATGAATGATGTCATAACATAATTATATAAGACGCTTAATCGGGATGACCATGTTTTCCTAGTGTATTGTGGGTTAGATCCTTGGACCCCAATGAATGATGTCAGCCGGCACAAAGTACCCTACACCACCGGGAAAAAACTGGTCCTTCCAAAATCTGAATCTCTGCTGAGTCTTCACCAAATCACTTCAAGTGCCAAATCAGGCTTTGCCCAGGCGTTGCAGCGTAGAGGTTTCCCACTCCCAAACACATGTTGGTGCAATTTCACAAAATTCCTATGGGAGAAACAGCAAAGGTACTAGGTAATATTAAACTCCCACCCCCGTCAAACTTCTACATTCATTGAAGATCTTCAATAAGGGTTTAATTCTCCCACCCCCGTTGAACTTCTACATTCATTGAAGATCTTCAACAAAGGTTTAATTCTCCCACCCCCGTTAAACTTCTACATTCATTGAAGATCTTCAATGAGGGTTTAATTCTCCCACCCGCGTCAAATTTCTACATTCATTGAAGATCTTCAAAAAGGGTTTAATTCTCCCACCCCCGTCAAACTTCTACATTCATTGAAGATCTTCAAAAAGGGTTTAATTCTCCCACCCCCGTCAAACTTCTACATGCATTGAAGATCTTCAATGAGGGTTTAATTCTCCCACCCCCGTCAAACTTCTACATTCATTGAAGATCTTCAATGAGGGTTTAATTCTCCCACCCGCGTCAAATTTCTACATTCATTGAAGATCTTCAAAAAGGGTTTAATTCTCCCACCCCCGTCAAACTTATACATTCATTGAAGATCTTCAATAAGGGTTTAATTCTCAAACCCCCGTCAAACTTCTACGTTCATTGAAGATCTTCAACAAGGGTTTAATTCTCCCACCCCCGTCAAACTTCTACATTCATTGAAGATCTTCAATAAGGGTTTAATTCTCAAACCCCCGTCAAACTTCTACGTTCATTGAAGATCTTCAACAAGGGTTTAATTCTCCCACCCCCGTTAAACTTCTACATTCATTGAAGATCTTCAAAAAGGGTTTAATTCTAATGATGATGATGATGATGATGGTGATGATGATGATGATGATGCGTCGCCTGTCGTCATTGCGGGTCCGGGCAAAGCCCAGGCATTTGTCGTAATGATATTTACATGATATATTATATATATGCATTATATTTATATAAATAATGATAAATATATAGATATATATATATATATATAGAATGTTATATATATATATATATTTATTTATTATAATGCATGTATTCATATTCTCATTATATATCAAAACGTAAATATAATGATATATAAATACATATATACAATTGAATATATATATATATTTTACTATATTATTACTGTATATACATATATATATATTACACCTAAATCGTATGGGACTTCTCAATGCTTATGATTACTTTTTGGTAAAGAACATATTTATGAACATTGCCCTCAACCATCTCTAAGATGTAACAACATCCTCTATAAGAATAAATCTTTAATATGTTGTAGTAGTTGAAAAGTTCACTATATGGATCGCGTCAATGCAGATTTTGTTATTACCGGAATTCTTAGCGGCTCCTGCTTCTATGAGACTCTTTATCTGTTCACTTCGATAAAGCTCAAATACAGCTTGTGTATCCTTTTGGATAAAATTATCTGTTGTGTTGCATTCAACATGTGCATATCATCTTTGAGTAGCAGTACACGTGTTTTCTCCGACAAATAAAACATAGTCCTTGAGGCAATCCCATCGCTTTGCTCACCTGCATTAAACATGTTTCCAAGAGCTCTCTTAACATCTCTTAACATTTTCTGATTTCTTTGTATTGTAAGTCGCATTTTTGTAGCTAATGCTGACTCTAGAGTAGCTTATGGGGCCAGGTGTAAGTTTGTGCATTTCTAGAAATATGACTCAAAGAATGTGTGTCTAAGGATGAGTTCTGATAAGATTGTGTTTTTAGTTAGTCCAAGATCTTGATTGGGCTATACAAAAAACATTTAATGAAACTTTCATTGATAATCTTACGAGGTTTTAGAAAAATGTCTATAAAAAAAAAAATACATTTACATTTTCTATAACTATATAAATTGAATTAACCACTGTCACTTGCGTTATCTGCTGTACTACCTGGAGTTTATGCACCTTCCTTGACTCTTTCAGCTTCTGCATTTTCTTAAACTTGTACACCTTTTCCAGGGGCTGCAGTTGAGGCATGCGCACTGTCGTTTGTCACACACACCATAAAAATTAAAGTATGTCACTTATAGTTTCGTCAATCCCAAGAGGATTACCATTCTTTCAAAACATATTACGTCACGCCTTGTACCTTCTTTAACCATCCCATTAATCTTAAGAATTTAGGAGGGATTGCAGAATCGTGATGAGATATTTTGCGCGCAGCGTTCCCATATCGTGAACAAACATTTTTTCTACAACATGTTCTCGAATTGTTTCCTGTCCATCGTGCTCAAAAAAACTGCAATGATACTGTATCTGTATCATTATGTATATCTATTCTAAATCACGTTAAACTGTTCTTCCCTTGCCATCCTATTATCTCTGGCTAACATTTTTGATTTTTGTTGCGCGCCTTCAAGGCCACCAAAATGGAGGCGAATCACAGGTGTTTTTCTTTATAGCCGTCAAAGATTTTTTTTTAAACAGATCTTTGGGGATTTGTAAGTGCTAGTTTTCGAGCTACTAGTGATTCTAGAATATTCTAGATCATTGAAATTTGCATTAATTAGTTGCTCAAGAACGTGTGTGCCTTCTAATTTTGTGTTATTTTAATTCGTCTATAAAAATTCAAAACGATTTGATCTTAGCTACTATCCGGTAATCAAACGTGGCTCGCTGAAAAATCACCCGGCCATTTAGTTCGATGATTCTCCCATTCAAACCTCCATTTAGTTGATTTTTTTCCCGCCAGCCACGTTTCATCCCCGGAAAGTATATGTGTCACTAAGTATTATCCCACTATAACGTAGCCCTAAATCGTATGAGGTTTCTCAATGTTTTTCTGATCAGGTCCTGATTTTTTCTATGACAATTGCCATCAATGTGGGTAAAAACATGAATAAACAATCCCTCAAATTACCATAATAAAATAGATAGTATAGACCATTCTCAAATGGGTAGTTGATTATTGTTTTACCCACATTAACTGAGGATGACGTCCGGGATGACGTCGCCTCCAAGCAGTCCATCGGGGTCATCTTTGGCATAATCCCAAGCTCCTGGGGATACACCCACGGTTGGTTACTGTTTGGGGTTTCAGGATGTAACATCATGACTATGTTTCATGACTGTGCTTCATGAGTTTATAAACCAATGTAGTTTGGGATAGTGGGATTGAACAATCACTGGTGATTAGAATAAGTAGGGATAATGAATGGTATGAGCATTCAAACATGGGATGAATGGTTTTTGGTGCATCCCATGGGATCCCATGGGAATCCAAACAGAGGGACCCGATATGCAATGCACCAGAATCCCCATGGTAAAGCCAAGTTAAAAACTGTCATATATCTACAGAGGACCCATATTGTTGTATGTATATATAATATGTATTTATGTATGCATATATATATATATATGTATATACATGCATACACACACATTACGGATGTTAAACGCTACACAAACACGACGTCCGATCATCATCGCGTCGGCCATAGAAGGAGATAGCAATAGCTACCACGGCTGTCACGGCTGTTTCCAAACCAAACCGGTATCATCCTCGATAAGATCTTGTACGTAATTACGTATTTTGTTTAAAAAAATGCAGCCCACGAACCCGAATGCAGTCACGTAAAACAGTTTTGTGAAACAAGTTGTTTGAACAGTCTTGTGCATTTTACCCCTGTTATCGTACGAGTGCACTGTAGACTGTGAAATGCGGAAGAGGGTGCAGTGCAAAGTGTGGAGTGTGAAGCAAATGGAGTGTTCAGTGTGGAATGTAGCATGTAGAGTGTGACGTGGGGATTCTGCAGTGTGGAGTGTAAAGTGTAGAGTGTGGGGTGGAAAGTGTCAAGTCTAGAATGTGGAGTGCAAAAAGTAAAGTGAAAAGTGTAGAGTGTGGAGTGTGGAGTGTTGAGTGTGGAGTGTAAAATGTAAAGTGTAAAGCGTAAAGTGTAGAGTGCAAAGTGTGGAGTGTAAAGTGTGGAGTGTCAAGTGTAGAGTGTGGAGTGTAAAGTGTCAAGTGTAAAGTGTGGAGTGTGGAGTGTGGAGTGTAAAGTGTGGAGTGCACAGTGCGGAGTGTAAAGTGTGGAGTGTAAAGTGTAAAGTGTGGAGTCCAAATTGTGGAGTGTAAAGTGTGGAGTGCAATGTAGAGTGTAGAGTGTAAAGTGGTAAAGTGTAAAGTGTGGAGTGTAATGTCTGGAGTGTGGAGTGTAAAGTGTAAAGTGTGGAGTGTAAAGTGTGGAGTGTGGAGTGTTGAGTGTGGAGTGCAATGTGTAGAGTGGGGAGTGCGGAGTCTAAAGTGTAAAGTGTGGAGTGCGGAGTGTAAAGTGTAAAGTGTGGAGTGTAAAGTGTACAGTGTGGAGTGTGGAGCGTAAAGTGTGGGGTGTAAAGTGTAAAGTGTGGAGTGTGGAGTGTTGAGTGTGGAGCGTACAATGTAAAGTGTCAAGTGGAAAGAGTGTGGAGTGCGAAGTGTGGAGTGTAAAGTGTGGAGTGTGGAGTGTGGAGTGTGGGGTGTAAAGTGTAAAGTGTGGAGTGTAAAGTGTAAAGTGTGGAGTGTGAAGTGTAGAATGTGCAGTGTAAAGTGTACAATGTGGAGTGTAAAGTGTGGAGTGTGGAGTGTTGAGTGTGGAGTGCAATGTGTAGAGTGGGGAGTGCGGAGTCTAAAGTGTAAAGTGTGGAGTGCGGAGTGTAAAGTGTAAAGTGTGGAGTGTAAAGTGTACAGTGTGGAGTGTGGAGTGTAAAGTGTGGGGTGTAAAGTGTAAAGTGTGGAGTGTAAAGTGTGGAGAGTGGAGTGTAGAGTGTGGAGTGTAGAGTGTGCAGTGTGGAGTGTAAAGTGTGGAGTGTAAAGTGTAGAGTGTGGAGTGTGGAGTGTAAAGTGTGGAGTGTAAAGTGTGGGGTGTAAAGTGTAAAGTGTGGAGTGTGGAGTGTAAAGTGTGAAGTGTGGAGTGTAGAGTGTGGAGTGTAGAGTGTGCAGTGTGGAGTGCACTTGTGTAAAGTGTAAAGTGTAGAATTTGGAGTGTGGAGTGTAAAGTGTGGAGTGTGGAGTGTAAATGAAAAGTGTAAAGTGTTGAGTGTGGAGTATCACCGCTTGACGCAGCCCTGACAAGGGGATTTGCAAATAACATGCAGCACGATAGGTCTGACGTGCTGCGCGTGCCACGCAAAATGACGATGGAGGTCTCTAAAGTGTTGCGTTTGCCACAAAAAAAATGCAACTCATTGTCTGAAAACGACGCAAAAGTATTGCGCCTACCACACAAAACGACTTTCGACACGTTACGAAACACGTCTCAATGTCACGAAGTGCCACGCAAAACAACATTACAACCTGATTTGACACCTTCAAAAGGGACAGATTTTGCAGCTTCCCCCCATAGACACGGCGATGGCAGAAGAAATCCAGAGAATTGAGACGACACATACTCAAAACCTCAAAACGAGCGTTTCGTGCGAGACCTCCTCCAATTTTCACACTTGATAGCTTCAAAATCGATGTTTTCCTACGAATTTTCCTTTGAACCTCAAAATTTGCAACCTCAAAATCGATGTTTCAGCAGGTGCCAAGGTGGTGTCAGCCTTGCTCTTGTCCGCAGTGGTGGTCTCAGGTTGGCTCTTGTCCACAGTGGTGGTGGTCTCGGCCTTCTGATCGTTCTTCTCCACGGTGGCGTTCTGCTGCAGAGTGCTCTCAGTTGCTGGGTTCTCGGTGCCGTTTGTGAAAGCACGGCGCTGCGGGGTGGCCTGTCTGAAGATGTGGAGGTTTGCCAATCCTCCATTGCCCATGTTCTGCTGCTGCTGGTGCATGTTGGCCATCTGCTGCTGCATATTGGCACAACTTCGCGCAGCCTTGACAATGCGATTCGCGAAAACACGCAACGCAACACGTCTAAAGTGCTGCGCCTGCCATGCGAAATGACGATGGAGGTCGCCAAAGCGCTGCCTGCCACGAAAACTGGAACGCATCTTCTGAAAACGTCGCGAAAGTAATGCGCCTGCCACACAAAACGACTTTTGACGCGAAACGAAGCAATGTGACGTTTGAAACCTCCAAAAGTGACCCATTTTGCAGAACTTACCATAGGCACGGCCATACGGCCCTCACGCGGACGGTTGCGGACGGTTGGGAACGGTTGCGCAACGTCGAGCGAACACACCCTCAACCCCCAGACCCCCAGAGTTAAACGGGAACCCTTGCTACGCATTCGGGAAAAAACCATGTGTACAATACATACATATATAAATATATGTGCCATGTTCAAAACATACTATACTGGCGATGGTCATCCATCCCATCATGGGAATCCCATCATACTGGGTATATAGATCCCCATTCTTGGATTGACAACCATTCCCCAGTATGGGTGAATAACCCAAGTTTTGACCCAGGCACATACGGTGTCATCTCTCTTTTTTTCCCCCAACCAACTCGTGGAATGTTTCTATGATTTTTAGTCGAGCCATGTCTTATCCGATCCTAATGCAAAATTCAGCTTACACAAAGACATGTATATATAAATATTTTAAACATTATACATATATCTAATTTAATATATACATATATCAATATATACAGTATATTTTTCCCATACACACAGTGTCTTTCCACCAATTTTCTCCAAGGTCGCCCCGCCTAAAGTGTCGAAAGGATATGCATCGCCCCAATGGAACACGCGTTCCCTCGAATGGTCCTCAGCGCGGTGCTTCAGCCGGGGATGGTGACATAGATTCGTGAATAGCTGTTACCCTGTCTGGTAAACATACAAAAAGCTATGAAAAATCACCATTTTTAATGAGTAAATCAACTATTTCTATGGCCATTTTCAATAGCTATGTTAAATTGCCAGAGGGTAATAGTGGTGAATCATGGTTAATAGTGGTGAATACAAGGTAATCCCGACTGATAATTGTTAGGGTACCCAGAAACACTTGGAAACACTTGGAAACACTTGGACATCAGAAACACTTGGATTGCATATGACCCACCAGCCTACTTACAGTAAAACGACCATGTATCAAGCCAAACACATGAAGCTAACATGATGCAGTTCGATGGTCGCTGAAACTCGGATGTACGAAAAACGGGGAGTGATTGCCATGTCTTTCACAGAGACTCTTACCAACATATTATACTGTCTCTAAAGAACATATGAATACATATGAGATATTTATAAAAACCTCACTTTATATAACCCTCACATGGCCATCCTAAAAGCGCAATGATGATTCACTAGTGGATTTTGTATATCCAGGTTTCCCGCACGTCATTTGGATCCCTGACTTTTGCAATGCAAATCGTCTCAGTAGAACTTGGCTTGTATCCTTTGATTTCCCTTGATAAAGCTTGTGTGCACATCTCTCAACGCTGTGCCCAGTAATTTGAAAATTGTGTGTCCAGTCTACCCGGGTCTACCCACAGATGGTCATCTAGGCAATCGTTCTGCGTCTGAATAGGGTACCCCCAACTTCGATCGCTTTTCATCATGTTTGCCCTTTGCGTGTACACTATTAATGTGCACTGTGCGAGTACAGTTAATTACTTCCCTTTGTATAGCCACAGAGTACCACTTTGATGCCGACAGCAACTTTCGCAGTTTCTCTTGTTCCCATTTAAACGGCAATTTTGGGTGTGTATAATATTATATTTATTTACACATGCATACCCAATTTGGCAGTAGTCCCCATTGACACATCCATCTGTTCTAAACCGCTGGCCTACGGCCTCCGATCGACCCACCGCGGAACTGAACGACAGTGGTCGCGGAAGTTGTTCAACAGCAAGTCAAAGCCCAGAGATCGAAGGATGAAGGCCACAAATTGCTGTCTAAACTCATTCATGTTCGCTTGGAAACCTGCGGTCATCTCCGGTAAGAAAACATATCTCGACCGAAGAAAAGGACTGGATCCCCCAGGAAGGATTGCCGACAGTATATGGACCAGATCAATGGTTTCGATTCTTTTTCAGGTGCACAATGTTGAGAAAACACAAACCCTGGTAATGGTGACCAATCACTGATACACATCACCAGGAATTTCATCCAACAGCCTTTGCTCAAAATCATTGGGGGCTACCAACAGACCCGCAGAAGATGTCGCTTTTTGAACCATACCTAAACAAGACCTGGCACCCGTCCGGGTTTTCATGGGATAGCCCAAAGGAAGCGCAGCTTATGGATTTTCCAAACTGAAACCACCCACCCCCAAGCCTGATTTAAGTCCATCGACCATGGAAGGTATGACATGCCATCTCTTTAGACCCCATCTTTGACCCCGACTTGCGGTAGGTCATATGCCCACTCTAAATTGTGTATAATTCATGGCTGACCTTTGATACCACATTTATGGGGATAGTACAGTTCTCGGTTTATGGTAAAACTATGTAAAACTATCGTACTTTCACCTACCATTCACTGATGCCATTCACCAATCCGTTTGCCTAACTATAGTGATGATGAAAACCCCCATGTAATGATGATGCACATTCCAAAACTAACCACTGTTGCCCAAACATCCCACTTGCTCTTGCTTATCTCTTATCACCTCTGTTCTTGATAAAGATCTGTTTCTTCCATGGTTCTTGAATATGTCCATCCTTTTTTCATCAATTTCCCACCGGTTCCACTCCTTAAATCGCCCAGCAGCCATGCTGCACCACAATCCGCGGCCGCGGTCCTGGGAACTTCGAGGCATCTGCTGGGAGCCACAAGCCTTGCAGCTGGACCGTCTCGAAACCCGAGGCAGTCCTCCAGGGGCGAGTCACTGGGTGAATTTCGGTGAGTTTGATGAGATTTGATGGCTGAACAATGATAAACATACCCCAACAAACTAGGTGAAACATAGGTCAAAGTGAGGAGTTAAGATGAGTTTATCATCGCAATTGCACAATTGGGGATCTGTTGAAAAATGATTCTGAATTCATGAGTAGGTATGGTTGGACATGTTGCCCATTGATCATGGGGGTTTCCGGTTTCCTGTTTTCACCCAAGTCAGTTGGAGGTGACTCTTTCAGGAAGAAGAAATGGAGGGCCTCTGCTTCAATACTTTGTGGGATACACAAGCAACGCAAAACATGATGTTACAATATTTGAAGGCATAAATACAAGATAATACAGGACTCTATAGATACGATAGATATCTATAGATGCATTTATTTGATCATATGAGATGTCACTTGTCAATTGTCACTGTCGAAGCTTTTTGTGAACGCTGCGACTGCTGAGAGGAACTCGGGGTTGCATCGAGCTGTGGTCATGGCAACAATCCACAAAAATAACATCCTTTACATTGAAAAACATCCATTTATACAATTAGAATACTATCACTTATTTCAGGCCTTTGTAATCATTTGCAGGTTCTCCTCGAACCACCATTCAAATCCATTCATGTATTTCTCACTAGAGTAAAAGAGACGATTTCCCAATCACGTTTGAATCCCAAGATGGTACTTCCTACATTTCGTCCCTATGTTTCTTTATCTTTTTGGAGACCCCAATTTTTTCGCGGCAGCTGAGCCTGGAAGGGTAGGAGACCAACTTGGAAGGCAGTTCCTCATTTAACTTCTGCATGTCAAACATGATGCTTGCATCCTGAGATCAAGGCGTGATGAGCGTGGTTTGGTGGTTCCGCGCTCAATTTCTTCAGGTCTTCCAAGCTGGCAATCCGTTGGGAGATCTGATGGGAGATGTCAGCTCCACTAAGCAATGGTGACGATGCAAGCCCTGACTAACTTACCCGTTAGCAAGTAGGATGATCCCATTTTGTACTGGGCCACCATGTCAACCATCTTCGCGACTGTCAGGTGAAAACCATGGTTCTTTTAACGTTTTGGGTTTGGTTGAAAACAGGTTACCCCTGAATCATCTGGCCAACCACCATTTTCCCAAAGTGGCTATAGCATGCTATAGCACATGTTCAGACCCATTTCTTGCTGCACATTTTCAGACCACTTGTCCAAGGATCCACGCAGGGTTCGAGGCATCCATCTGTAAAGTTTTGCATGGACGTGACATAATCACAGCCAGGCCACCTCAAGATACACAGAAAACGCAGAGCTGGGATCACTGCTGCAAAAACAAGCCATGAAAATAGTAACTGTGGGGATATTTCATAGATTGGGTTGATAAACTATGTTGATGCATATAGTGTATGCCTAAAACTATCATGAAACATCATATAACCACCGAAGATAGGACTGGACGACCCTACGGACAGAGGTGGTTGTCACAGAGGCTTCTTATATACACTTCTTCTGTAGCAATCACTTACATGGCAGGAACAAAAACATGCAATTTTGCCATCTTTGGAAACTGTGAAACTCAACAATTCACCACCATTTTGCATATATCCGGCAATCGGAGAATGCTGTCCAAAGAGAGACCCCTTAGAAGATTCACCAGTGAACGTGGTAAACCATTCCAAAGATTTCCAAAGTGCTAGACTTGGGGATGGTTTTCTGTTGGAGGCATGATGTCAGTTGGCCGTTCTAGCCATAATATCCATGAAATAGCAGCGTAAAGTATGATATGAAGTATCAATGGCTATTAATTAGGGTTTTTCATCTTTTCCCACATCATATAGATTAACTAAGAATATCCGATGATCCAGTAATCTCACTTTCCACATATTTTTCAGTATTCAATGGCAATATTTCTGTCAACAGCATGCCAATCATATCCAGGACAAAATTAGCCCACTTCTCACAACGTCATGCGGCCAAATGTTATAGGTCACGTTGTCCATGTCCACCGCATCTTCCGGAGTGCCTCGAGTAGATTGAGATTCCGAGATCCATGGGAATATATGTATATAGTAATTATATATATATATACACATACACTACATCTATCTATTTATATATATATGTTATATAAGTTATGTATAGATGTGTGTATATATATAGATATACATATCATAATACAAGTAATTATATAGGATCATTATGCAACTTGTTCAGGACTTTTTTTGGGATAAGATTAAAGATCTCCAAGACAGTTCCATGAACATTGCCAAATTTAGATAGACTGGACAAAATAGCAGGTTAGTTAATATGGTATAAATGCCCAACAATGGCGAAAAATGTCAACAACTCGATCATGATCCACCCAAATCTGCTTCTCAAACCATTGATTTTGCAAATTTGAAGTCCCCCATTCTGGATGATTTTGGGGGTCCTAAATGGGGGCACCCCCAATTAGGTACGTGTGAAAATTGAAAATAACATTGCCCATCCCATTCCATGCAGAACCATTTCCACCATCATTTGATGCCCAAAAAGGGGTGGTAATTCGATTTCCCTTTTTTTGTACGGACCCAGTTCCATTATCATGCCACCATCCATTTAATTGCTTAATCCAAAAATTGTGATACTTAATCCTGATTTTGGCAAAATTTCCCAGTCTCAGACAACCCCGCAACTTGCCGTTTGCCAAAGATGCCTCGTTCGATTGTTTGGACCCGTTTGCTTACTTGTGCTTAGTAAGGAATGAGGGAGTGATCCACAATAACTATCAATAATCCCATTCCCCCATTCCCATCCATTCCCTGCTATAAGCACCAGCAAGTTTGTGCCAAGCAACAATACAGCACCATGTTTGGGGTCAACTGCAGCATGGACGTCGTGCCCTGACTCTGGCCGATCCACACCAAGGCCATGTAAGCAGCAACTCAGTGCGGTTAGCGTGGCAAATGGGCTGTGAAAAAATATGATTTAAGTAGCAATAATTGGAGATTTAATGAGAAATATAGAATATTATAGATATATGCAATATGTATGATATGCATGAATGCATCTATATATAGACATCTATACTATGTACATACATAGGTACATGTGTACACAATTTAGATTTACCATGCCCCGACCAACATACACCCTGGCTAACCCTGAGAATCATCCGTCAGTTCCAGTTTTGGAAGTAATTGTCTTCCAGCACCCATTTTGGCGGGGTCTATGTTAGTTGGAGGGAGCCTATATAACTGTAACTGAAAAAGTGAATCAGTGAGTAAGGAGTGAGTGATTGAGTGAGTGAATGAACAAACGAACGAATGAACAAATGAATGAGTGGATCAATGCATCGATGGACAAACAGCTGCATAGGCACGGGAACGAAAAAAATACTTTACTTCGAGTTATCCCCGCCATGACATCTATACGTTTTGTTACCGGCAAATCTTCTGGCATTCTATCTGACATATCTTCTGGCATTTTATCTGGCATATCTTCTGGCATTCTATCTGGCATATCTTCTGGCATTCTACCTGGCATATCTTCTGCAATATGTTCTTGCATATCTTGTGGCACTCTATCTGGCATATCTCCTGGCAAATCTTCTGACAGTCTATCTATCTGGCATTCTATCTGGCAAATCTTCTGGCATATGTTCTGGCAAACATTCTGGCACTTTATCTGGCATACCTTCTGGCATTCTATCTGACATTCTATCTGGCATACCTTCTGGCATTGTATCTGGCATATCTTCTGGCATTCTATCTGGCAAACATTCTGGCACTTTATCTGGCATCTCTTCTGGCATTCTTTCTGACTTTCTATCTGGCGTTCTATCTGGCATATCTTCTGCCATTCTATCTGGCCGTTGAGGTCCAGCGGTGCTCACTGAGCTTGGAGGGTCCCAGGTTGAGTTCCAGCGGTGCCCAGTGCGCTCAGACCCTTGCAGTTGAGGTCCAGCGGTGCTCACTGAGCTCGAAAGGTCCCAGGTTGAGGTCCAGCGGTGCCCAGTGCGCTCAGACCCTTGCAGTTGAGGTCCAGCAGTGCCCACTGCGTGCGGAAGTTGGCGAAGAGCTTGGCGAAGAGTTGGCAAGGCGGAAGTGAACATGGGAGTGGATGCAAAGGTGGTGGAGGAGAGGGAGGAGGAGGAGAAGGAGGTGGAGGATGAGGAGGAGGCGGAGGAGGAGAACAACTGTGATAAAATCTAACAACTCTGACCTGGCAGGTGGGGAATAAAACAGTGGCATGTAAGCTAGGATATGCTATTTACACGCAATTGTTATGCAAACGCTCTGTGGGAAAATCATGGCCCCTATCAGTGGGTCACAGAAACTGATGGAGTACCATGGTATATCGATATATCTACATACATGAACATACACTCTACCTTGGGCAAAAAACTCATAGACACATATTAAGTACAAATCCCAAAGTCTATCTATTTCACATCATTTGTCGCTGTAGATTGTGTTTTTGTTTGTCCGATCACCAATTGAGTTCAGGCCATGTTTTTTTCGGGACCGGTTGGCTCCCATGGGCTTTTCACTTATCTGGCCATGCAGTTCGTCACTTAAATTCATTGTATTTCTGTACACATATAATCATGAAAAAAACATACACATAATATGACATACTCATATACACACGTAGTATTTGTGCAATGCACATACCTACATGTATATATATATATACACACATAGTACATACATAAATTATATACATACCCATATATTCACTTCACGCAATCTGTACAGCTTAATGATATATACATATATTAATATATATATGTATATACATATTACCTAAACACATTATAACCACATGATATTGGACACAATAGCCTAGAAACACGTGGATTAATGATGTATAATCATGTGTACTGTATATGTGTCTTTCATATCAGCAACGACCATGTATATAATATGTCTTTGGGTATCTTTCATCCCTTGTTGGAGATGGGCAGACTTGAAACATGTCGAGTGATACGGAGACTTGGAGCCTATGTAATTCACAACTTGCGCCATTCTTTGATGCCTCACAATTGCAGAGGAACAGCAAATAAATACGCAATATAAATCAATATATTATATAAGTATCATATATATATATATACAGGTCCCTGGGTAATTCCAAAATCTGTTCTGGGAACTTATTTCTGTTTTGCCAAAAAACTTGGCTCAAGAATGAATGTTTTCAGATCCTGGAAATGATCTGTCATCGTTTGGTGTCCCAAACTGGTCCTGCATTCCACGTTCAATTCTGGGCCTTTGAGTTTCATGTTCCATGACATCACATATCAAGGACACCCACGAACGGCTTCAAAGCGTCGCGGATTGCTTCACCAAGATACCTATAAGAAATATCAGCAAACAGCAGCAAATGGTCAGGATCTTGCGGACCACCAGCCGCTGAGTCGGTGCGGCCCGATCTGGCCCTCCGGCTGGTTTAGTTCACAAAAAAAATCTGAATTTGGACAAAAAACTGGAGAAGCACTTCAACACATACTACATTAGATATCAACTATACAAACACTTGGGGCCAATTGGCACCCTTGGATGTTTCAGTTGTATGTGTGCAATTCCTCAGGTTACATGTGTGCGAATAACATCATATTTGTACACTTATCACTACTCATACATATGCAGTAACATATACATAGACATACAAACTTACAAATATATATATATATCTACACACCTACATACACATATACATACATAGACAAAAAATACACACATAAAAAATACAGAATAAAATCATACATTATATTATACATATCTACATCTACATCTACATATATATCTACATAATTCATTCTACATAATTCTACATATCTACATTGTACATTATATACATACATATACACAAACATATACATACATACACATACATATACATACATATACATACATATACATACCTATACATACAAATACATACAAATATATACATACACATACGTATACATACATATACATACATATACATACATAGACATACATAGACATACATATACATACATAGACATACATAGACATACATAGACATACATAGACATACATAGACATACATAGACATACATAGACATACATAGACATTCATATACATACATATACATACATATACATACATATACATAAATATACATACATATACATACATATACATACACATACATATACATACATTTACATACATATACATACATATACATACATATACATACATATACATACATATACATACATATACATACATATACATACATATCTGCACAGACATAGACATGGACATAGTCATGCACAATGTGTGTATAGACTATACACCCAAACGAAGCAAAGATGCTCAATTCTAAGTACAATCGACCGTCATCAAGACGCATGTACAATGATGGGCCTGCCACTAGTGACTGGACCTCTATACCTCTATACTTGTACGGCCAGCTGTGGACAGTAGAATCCAGTTTAATACCTAAATAAATAAGGGGAGGTTGATGGAGGTTGCCACACCCTGTTGGCCCTGTTGGCTAGCTCTACGCCAATTCATCAACCATATTCGTGCGTTTTTCGCACCGGTAGCTCCAAATCAGTCAATCCTTCTTCTGGCAAAACTGCAGCTAGCCCATACAACTGGCAGAATAAGGCAGCTATGGCGACTAGAGAAAGTAACCTTGTAGGTACATAGCTAAACTCATTAAATAGATGATACATGCGATCACCACTCTATTGAGGACTTCCAACCAGCAGGGCTCTCAACATCTTCACAACGTGGGCCCCTACTAAGTCAACCACGTCGGTTCCCACGTCATACGGTAGGTTCCCAAAATGAATTTACAGCACCAAACGGGTCTCCCAGGGGTAGCCTCAGCTCCACGGGTTTATCATCAGTTCGATTGTGGCCACTTGGAGGAATACTGGATACATCTGTATGCTCCATTTCCGGACACCCTGTGGCCCTGTGTTGATGTTTTACAGACGATTTTTTGATTTCAGAGATCAGTGGTGCTTCTGACGATGACAATCTGTTGCCATCAAGGCTACAAACCCCAAGTCGGCCTTGAACACCCGAAAAGTCCAAGATCGGACAGCTGTAGCCAATTTGGACCCGTACCCAACTAGCTATAAATCCCTATTTTTGTTGGTTGGCCATGTTTCATGGTTGAATCAGCAATTTTCATGATACAATCACCAATTACTGGTAAAAACCCATCTCCGCCTTCATTGGTCCTGTCCGGCGCGTCTAATGGCTTGTAATTATTCCTGGCCGCAGAATAGCATGGGGCATAAAACCACAACGGGGCCCGTCTAAAAACGCACCTGAAAAATCAATAAAAATCAGGCATGTTTATAAGTTGGAAATATGTTTACAAGTGGAATGACATCAAATCATCAATTTCTTGGATTTCGAACATAGGGCAATATGGGACCTACAGTGGATACTGCAAAAATAGGCGCTGTTTATATAGCCATGAAGAAGTCGCCATTAGGCTCGCCCATTCGTCGGAATCATTTGGGCTCTGAGGTCGGGAAAATAATCTTCCCAAGCAGTAAAAGCTCGTCAAAAATTTGCGAAATTCCCACGTCAAAATAAAAAAACATATCATGTCATTTTCTAAAAGTGAAGGGTCTAGGTATACCAATACTAAATCCAACCATTTTCCCTGCTGGGCAAATTATTTATGGTTGGGTTTACTGCTTGATCGGTTCCAATGCAGCGAAATACGATGTGTCCTGAAAAGTTGCCAAACCATTGGAAACAAACCTGCTCTATCATTGACCCAACAATTTTCATATTATCAAAAAACATGCCCCCGAAGGGGTTTCATCCTTGGCTTGAGCTTCGGGTCATTTGTTGCAGTTTGCTACCTTAATAGATTTAGATGGACCATTCAACAATTTCATAGTACCTCTTCAAAATGGTGATGTGCCAGTTCACTGTCAGAAATTACCAGAGGATAAGTTTCATCCTTCTCCCGCAGCACTTTTTTTTTTCGGAAAGCCAGCGGCCTTTCGCTGGACAACATCTAAAAACTCAGCAGCTTGTCGCATCTTGTCGCTTGAGCCGAGCTGACGGGAGACCGACTGAGGAACACAGGGAGGTCATCGAGTCCAAACCAATGGGTCCTTTAACCATCAAAAATGAATAAACATGGAGTTACGCGGGGAACTAATTTAGCGAAATATCATGGTTTAACGGGGTATATATATAATGTATTATAATGTTATATAACCAACACTCTGATATTTGACAAATGAGAAATACATTCTGGTTGCTGGTACAGCACATGCCTTGCTGATCATTTTTTTAAACGTGTCATTGGTGAAATATATGTTTATCCTGTAACACTACTTGCGAGTGGTTCACAATCATAGATACTTGCTGCTTGTAATCATTCTTACGGATCCAATCACTTTTGTTTGGATTGGTCTTTGTATGTGCTGGTACTTGAAACATCTTGAAACATCTTGAAACATTCACACCCCGAGTTTTCTGGTGTATTTTCCATTTACCCTAAGGTTTCTACGCATTTTCCATGGTATGCAACACACCTCGCCCCAGGCCATTTCTGCCATCCTGGCCTCCTCCAGCGTCAAAGTCTTCTGCAGCACCTGGCGATCGAAGCGGAAAAAGGGGGTACCCCCAATAGCTGGATGGTTTATTTCATGGAAAATCCAATGCAAAAATGAATGATTTCGGGTACCCCATTTTAGGAAACCCAATAATAAACAACTACAATTTGGAGATGTTTTTGAATGAATTTCACCACATTGCTATCCAAGATGTGGGATTCTTAAGTCATGGTGCACTAAGTCACCATGGTTGTTTTGGTTGTTGCAATACTACAGTCAGTAGTGGTCATGCCGACTTGGATGATTTGGGGTACCCCCATGACTTAGGATTCCATATAATACTGCAACATACTACAAATGTATATCAATATCCGCCGACCCCGGCCGACGCAAGGGGGAGCGCGTAAGGGAAAAAGATGTATTGCACTGCTACTACTTCTACTTCTACTTCTACTACTACTACTACTACTAGTACTACTACTACAACAACTACTACTACTACTACTATTACTACTACTACTACTACTACTACTACTACCCATCCGTTCTTCAGAGCCAGGGTGTTTTCCTGCCGGGAGCTGCTTTTTCAGGGCCACTGTGTTTCCCCTCCGGAAGGGTGCGTTTTCAGTCTCGGGGGGAAGATCAGCAGCAGCAACGGGAGCAGCAGGAGGGTTCTATATCTTATCTTATTGTACATACTACTACTACTACTACTGCTACTACTACTACTACTAACACTAACTACTACTAACACTAACTACTACTACTAACTACTACTACTAACTACTACTACTACTACTAACTACTAACTACTACTACTAACTACTACTACTAACTACTACTACTACTAACTACTACTACTAACTACTACTACTAACTACTACTACTACTACTACTAGTACTACTAGTACTACTACTACTAACTACTACTACTACTAACTACTACTACTAACTACTACTACTAACTACCTACTACTACCTACTACTACCTACTACTACCTACTACTACCTACTACTACCTACTACTACTACTACTACTACCACTACTACCACTACTACCTACTACTACCTACTACTACTACTACTACCTACTACTACCTACTACTACCTACTACTACCTACTACTACCTACTACTACCTACTACTACTACTACTACTACTACTGCTACTACTACTACTACTGCTACTACTGCTACTGCTACTGCTACTGCTACTGCTACTGCTACTGCTACTGCTACTGCTACTACTACTACTACTACTACTACTACTACGCTATTGGGTCTCTTCTGGCAGCAGCAGCAACAGCAGCAGCAGCAGCAGCAACGGCAGCAGCCGTCTAGTATATCTCTCATCAGTTCCCTCAAGTCTTCAGTTCTAGTAGGGTTTCAGAAGTCACGTTTGGCACTTTTTTGGTGCGATTCTGTGGCCTGTTCGTCCTTCCGTGCCTTGCTGTTTTGGTGCCGGGAGGTGCTTTTGGTACTCTTCTGTCAGCAGCAGCAGCTACGGCAGCAGCCGTCGAGTATATCTCTCATCAGTTCCCTCAAGTCTTCAGTTCTACTCGGGTTTCAGAAGTCACGTTAGGCACTTTTTCGGTGCGATTCTGTGGCCTGTTCGTCCTTCCGTGCCTTGCTGTTTTGGTGCCAGGAGGTGCTTTTGCTACTCTTCTGTCAGCAGCAGCAGCAGCAGTAGCAGCAGCACCGGCAGCAGCCGTCTAGTATATCTCTCATCAATTCCCTCAGGTCTTCAGTTCTAGTAGGGTTTCAGAAGTCACGTTAGGCACTTTTTTGGTGCGATTCTGTGGCCTGTTCGTCCTTCCGTGCCTTGCTGTTTTGGTGCCGGGAGGTGCTTTTGGTACTCTTCTGTCAGCAGCAGCAGCAGCAGCAGCAACGGCAGCAGCCGTCTAGTATATCTCTCATCAGTTCCCTCAAGTCTTCAGTTCTAGTAGGGTTTCAGACGTCACGTTAGGCACTTTTTTGGTGCGATTCTGTGGCCTCTTCGTCCTTCCGTGCCTTGCTGTTTTGGTGCCGGGAGGTACTTTTGGTACTCTTCTGTCAGCAGCAGCAGCAGCAGCAGCAGCAGCTACGGCAGCAGCCGTCTAGTATATATATATATCTCTCTCTCTCTCATCAGTTCCCTCAAGTCTTCAGTTCTAGTAGGGTTTCAGAAGTCACGTTAGGCCCTTTTTTGGTGCGATTCTGTGGCCTGTTCGTCCTTCCGTGCCTTGCTGTTTTGGTGCCGGGAGGTGCTTTTGGTACTCTTCTGTCAGCAGCAGCAGCAGCAGCAGCAGCAACGGCAGCAGCCGTCTAGTATATCTCTTATCAGTTCCCTCAAGTCTTCAGTTCTCGTAGGGTTTCAGAAGTCACGTTAGGCACTTTTTCGGTGCGATTCTGTGGCCTGTTCGTCCTTCCGTGCCTTGCTGTTTTGGTGCCGGGAGGTGCTTTTGGTACTCTTCTGTCAGCGGCAGCAGCGGCAGCAGCAGCAACGCAACGGCAGCAGCCATCTAATATATATTTCTCATCAATTCCCTCAGGTCTTCAGTTCTAGTAGGGTTTCAGAAGTCACGTTAGGCACTTTTTCGGTGCGATTCTGTGGCCTGCTCATCCTTCCGTGCCTTGCTGTTTTGGTGCCGGGAGGTGCTTTTGCTACTCTTTTGTCAGCAGCAGCAGCAGCAGCACCAGCAGCAGCAGCAGCAGGAGCAGCAGCAGCAGCAACGGCAGCACACGTTAGGGGCCAGGGAATAAGACATTTGAAGACAGCAGCAGCAGCAGCAGCAGCAAGACCTGTTTTGGTGCCGGGAGGTGGTTTTGGTACTCTTCAGCAACGGCAGCAGCCGTCTAGTATCTCTCATCAATTCTCTCTCATCAGTTCCCTCAGGTAGGATTTCAGAAGTCACGTTAGGTGTGCCGGGAGGTGCTTTTGGTACTCTTCTGTCAGCGGCAACAGCAGCAGCAGCAGCAGCAGCAACGGCAGCAGCCGTCTAGTATATATATCTCTCATCAGTTCCCTCAGGTCTTCAGTTCTAGTAGGGTTTCAGAAGTCACGTTAGACACTTTTTTGGTGCGATTCTGTGGCCTGTTCGTCCTTCCGTGCCTTGCTGTTTTGGTGCCGGGAGGTGCTTTTGGTACTCTTCTGTCAGCAGCAGCAGCAGCAGCAGCAGCAGCTACGGCAGCAGCCGTCTAGTATATCTCTCATCAGTTCCCTCAAGTCTTCAGTTCTAGTCGGGTTTCAGAAGTCACGTTAGGCACTTTTTTGGTGCGATTCTGTGGCGTGTTCGTCCTTCCGTGCCTTGCTGTTTTGGTGCCGGGAGGTGCTGTGGTACTCTGTCGGGCAGCGGCAGCAAAAAAAGCAGGGCGCATCAGGCACCGCAAGGCAGCACCAGCTATTATGTATATCTCTCATCAGTTCCCCCAAGTCTTCAGTTCTACTCGGGTTTCAGAAGTCACGTTAGGCACTTTTTCGGTGCGATTCTGTGGCCTGTTCGTCCTTCCGTGCCTTGCTGTTTTGGTGCCGGGAGGTGCTTTTGCTACTCTTCTGTCAGCAGCAGCAGCAGTAGCAGCAGCACCGGCATCAGCCGTCTAGTATATCTCTCATCAATTCCCTCAGGTCTTCAGTTCTAGTAGGGTTTCAGAAGTCACGTTAGGCACTTTTTTGGTGCGATTCTGTGGCCTCTTCGTCCTTCCGTGCCTTGCTGTTTTGGTGCCGGGAGGTACTTTTGGTACTCTTCTGTCAGCAGCAGCAGCAGCAGCAGCAGCTACGGCAGCAGCCGTCTAGTATATATATATATATCTCTCTCATCAGTTCCCTCAAGTCTTCAGTTCTAGTAGGGTTTCAGAAGTCACGTTAGGCACTTTTTTGGTGCGATTCTGTGGCCTGTTCGTCCTTCCGTGCCTTGCTGTTTTGGTGCCGGGAGGTGCTTTTGGTACTCTTCTGTCAGCAGCAGCAGCAGCAGCTACGGCAGCAGCCGTCTAGTATATCTCTTATCAGTTCCCTCAAGTCTTCAGTTCTCGTAGGGTTTCAGAAGTCACGTTAGGCACTTTTTTGGTGCGATTCTGTGGCCTGCTCGTCCTTCCGTGCCTTGCTGTTTTGGTGCCGGGAGGTGCTTTTGGTCCTCTTCTGTCAGCAGCAGCAGCAGCAACGGCATCAGCCGTCTAGTATATCTCTCATCAGTTCCCTCAAGTCTTCAGTTCTAGTCGGGTTTCAGAAGTCACGTTAAGCACTTTTTTGATGCGATTCTGTGGCCTGTTCGTCCTTCCGTGCCTTGCTGTTTTGGTGCCGGGAGGTGCTTTTGGTACTCTTCTGTCAGCGGCAGCAGCGGCAGCAGCAGCAACGCAACGGCAGCAGCCATCTAATATATATTTCTCATCAGTTCCCTCAGGTCTTCAGTTCTAGTAGGGTTTCAGAAGTCACGTTAGGCACTTTTTCGGTGCGATTCTGTGGCCTGCTCATCCTTCCG